TGTGTGTGTGTGTGTGTGTGTGTGTGTGTGTGTGTGTGTGTGTGTGTGTGTGTGTGTGTGCCTAAATCAAAAATGAAATGATACAGCTGTCTGGTTCCTGCATTAAAAAAAAAAAACTAAAACAGTTTACTCTAAAATATCTTTTAGTAAAACACAAAGATACGACAAATTTCATCTCAACTGAAAATCAAACAACCAGAAGCTTTTCTTAAAAAAACACCAGAACCAGACTGCTGCAACATTTAAATAATAAACTGATGACACTAAAAAACTAAAAGTAACAAGAAATATGGTGAAACAAAGCCTGATAAGGCAAAGTCCACTCCAGGTTGTCAGCATCCATGCACAACATGCCTTGTGTATTTCATGAAGTAATACTCACCACCATGTATTTATGTACCATTGAATCTTGAATCACTACTGTACTTTCCGCCATACACGTAGTTTCGCCATATAGGTCGCTTCGCCATATAGGTCGCTTCGCCATATAAGTCACATGTATTATGGTCACCGCTGACCACTCAGAAATGTGGGCCGTGTTGTGCCAAAAATCGATTGGCTGCCAAATGGCGGCCGCGGGAGCGTGCACGGGAGGACTTTAACCAGAATTTAACAAGATTAACGCTTAAAAACAATTGTTTGTGTGCTCAAAATTATAGCAAAGGTGTGTCTCAGTTGAACTTTTCCTTATGCACTTTGACGGTCAAATCAGCTGCATTTCAAAAATCGATTTGTGATAGCTGGAGCACGCAGAGGGAGGCCTTGCTGTGCATTTCTTCAAAATTTAACAAGATAACAGCATAAAAACAATTATCCGTTTGCTCGACATTATAGTAAAGTTGTGTCTCAGTTGATCTTTTACTTAATAAATGCACTTTGATGGTCAAATCAGCTGCATTTCACCTGGGCAGCGTGGCAAAATGCAGCTGATTGGACGTTTGCTCCAGGAGTTCCGGAGCGAGACCACGGTGACTTGGTATGGCAAGCCAAGTGTCTCATTAATATTCACTTTTAATTATTAATGAGACACTTGGCTTGCCATACTGCTCGAGGGCTCTCTAGGGCTGCAAATGGTAATGTTTAATATTTTTCATGTCAGAATGAATGGAATTGTCAGATCTCAGCCAAAAATGTGGTCATAAATACGGGGATAAAAATGTATATTAGTCACTTCAGTGTATAAGACGCAGGACTTGCAAATTTATGCAAAAAGTTGTGACTTATATGGCGAAAAATACAGTAAATCCAACTGTTCGTTCGTTAATCTGGTCCAATCGAAACGCTTTATCGCCACTCAAAGAGCTATCTGATACAGGTAAGACACCAATAACTTTTCCACAGAACCTCACTTTAAAAGATCTAATCACTTTAAGGTAACAAACATAAGAATAATGTTTGATGTACTTAGATGTTTGCCCAGTAGTCGTTAATGTTTGGGTGTTCTTTTATACGAAGCTTCAGTTTGTTGTATTTAGAACAAATAAACCCACAGCAGCAACGCTGGTCTTTACTCGTGGTGTGTTTGGAGGTACTGAGGACACTTTTAAGTGTACGTTGAGTTCTACGGAGGTCACTAAACCATGGCTTTAAAGGCTTGCAGGTGGTGGCTGAAAATGTCTGCACTTTCTTTGGCTGTAACGAGCTGCTTTTCACACCACTGAACCAGGCTCTTCTGCATCATGTCCACACGTGTCTGCTCAAACTGCACAATCTGCAGGAAGACAAAAATGTTCCATGACCGTCACCGTGTGCAGGGCCTGCATGTAAACAATAATAATCTATTGACAGACATGAACAAAGGGACGTTTTGAATGATTTACCTCTTGTTTTGCAACTTGACAAATCTGCTGAAACTCTGCCTCTGCTGCTTTCTTCACCTCCTCCATCTGAAAAACATGGATCATGTAAATATTCATCAGAATGACTAAACAGACTAAATGTTTCCTCTTCAAGCTGAGCTCCACCAGCAGCTTGTTGCTGCCCCCTGCTGCTCACATGCTGCATGTGCATCTACTCACAGCAGCTTTCTTAACAGGTTTGGCCTTCTCCACATTCTTTCTGGCATTCTCCAGTTCCACCATTTTACAGGTCCTCCTGAAGAGCATTTCCTACAATGCACCAAAAAAAAAAGGCACATTAATTAATACTGATCACAGATTTCAGACTTGTACGGCGGCTGTTAGATAAATTGGACATGGAGCAACAAACTTTTTCTGCCTCTTGGTAGCGCGAGTGCAGGTCCAGGCCGAGGCCAAGAGTGTTCATGTCGTTCACAGCGAAACTCCTCGTGCTCTTCTGCTCAAACACATTATTAGGCGTGAAAGTGATGAACAGCTGAGTGAAGTCTCATAAAAAGGACAAACATACCTTCATAGAATCAAATACTTCTGACAGCTGAGCACAAACCCTGCAAAAAAAGGGAAACATTAGTTTGAAACTAAAGTTGTAACAACAGATTGTGTAGTTATTTATCAGATGTTTAGGAACCAGAGGAACATTTTCATGTTTCTCACAATTAAATGTGGTGTTTTTTGTCTTTGTTGTGTGTGTGTGGGGGGGGATCTGGCCTTTTTAGCTCCTACTTCAGAGCTTTCGGAGCAAGAGGTAACCAAGTCAGTAAATATTTAATCATCTATCAGATTTCATAAGAACAAGTGTAGCTCAAAGTGCTTCACATAAACGCCGCAAATTGATGAAAAACAAGATAATTAGAACGTTTTCACCAGAAAATGAAAGTAAAGTCAACATAAAACAACTAAAGTGGCTAAAATAGGCAGACGAAGGAATAAAAAAAAGAATCGTGGCTGTTTGAAACTTTCATTATAGCCTAAGAATTAAGGCACGACAATAGTTTTTAATCTTTCTTGTGGAAGTAATTAGTGATCTAACTTCTCTAATATCAGTAAATAAAGATTTCAAAGCTTCGGGGCGATCTTGATGAATGCTGAACCTCCATTTCTCCTTCAGCTGTTCTGTGAAACTCCGTAAACAGGCAGTGTGGGCGGTGTGTGTGTGTGTGTAAAGTAACTTTGTCCTTCATTTTTAAGAGCTTTGGTTGCTCTTTAAAATCGGCTCTAAAAACGACAGGGAGTCGGTGCAGGACAGCTAAAACTGGGATAATGTGCTCTATCGCCTCTTAGTTTGGTTTAGTGGCCTCGCTGCAGAACTTCCAGTAAGCTGCAGTCTAACTGTGGTTCCTTTAAAAAGAAATAAAAAGTATTTTACAGTATTCAAGTCGGTTTGAAGCAAAGGCAGGAGGTTTTCAATCCAGAGAACGCCAGAACTTAAACTATATTGATAAAGGATAAACATCAGTGGAGATTTCAGCCAATAAACAGCGACTTTAAAAGAGAGAGAGCGTTAAAAGATATTTTTAAGTACAGAGCCAGTGCTTCAAGATCATCTTATGATGAGGAGGAACAGAGTTTCAGTAGTTTGGGTTGAACTTTGTACAAAATATGAAGGGTTTTAGTCTAAACATGTTCAAAATGGAGTCTACTAACATGAAATACAGTAGTCAGTGCACTAAAAATACTTTTACTAAATATAAAAACGCTCAGTTAAAGTTTTAGTTGGGGGCTGAGATGGGGCAGCTGAATTGGGACCAGAAAGTCGCAGTTGGACTCCCAGTCATTCCCACATGTCGTGGTGTCTCTGAGCCTCCCCAATTGCTCCCCGGGTGCTCACATAGCTGCCCACTGCTCCACCTGTACCTCAGGTGTGATGGGTCAAAAGCAGAGAAGTACTGGTAATTTCACCATGGTATGGGAACAACGATGATGATCTCAGACTTCCCTTAAACTGTGTCAAGGTAATGTGTATTATTTGCACTCATCATGCCCCAAACTTTTCTGTTCATTCTTTTCTCATACGTTACTGTTCTGTGATGTGAATGAATGATAGACAGAGACTGTCTTAAGGAGTCCTTGACTCAGATTCCCTCTGTCCTGCTGCAGCTGAGTGATGAAAGCCAGACAGGGTGGGAGGAGCTGAGGGTTGTCGCTGGAGTTAAATCCACAAAAGTAACTTTTTCAGTTCAGGAAGTTAGAACAGTCTGCGTTTCAGACGACCTTAGATAAATCTGAGGAACTACACCTTGGTCTGGAAATCTCCTTTTTTCCACGACAACTGAACACAAGATATATTTGTTTTCAGGGAGATAAATGGTCCACAAAATATTCAAATCAACTTAAAGAAAGTTTGAGCCGAATGTATGAATTTCTTTGAAATGAATCTAAACAAGTCTTGCAGTATAGGTGGTAAACTGTGTTTCAGATCTGTCATCTATTGAAAACAACCAAAAACACAATAAAGGCCCTGAACTGTTCTGAACTGCAGCGATTTGTCTCCTGAGTTCAATATATTTAAAACATTTTTCACTTTTGTATTCCATTTTATGCTGCTTTCCTTGAAAAACCTATTTTAAATTTTAAAAATTGGATCTAAATTGCATGAAGAAACGTTGACTCACCTGGTAAAAGCCTTTTTTTCAGGATCTTCTCCCTGTTCCACACAGAGATGAAGCGCAGCTGAGAAGTGCCCGCACGCCGTGGAGATTTCTGCCCACGAACAGAGACTTTCATGTCGGTGAGGCAGAACAACGTTAATGCGCTGAATTCTTTCAGGTAGAAAAGAGGCGTCTTACTTTGTTCAGCTAGCACCACGTCGAGAAATTTCTGCAAAAAAAAAAAAAAAGCAAGAAAAAGCAACATTTCTGAATCGTATGTGTCCGAGCAAACAGAGAGGAGGACAAATGGAGACACACCTCAGCTGCAGCCCTGGTGGATCCGGTCAACAGAAGGTTCAGGTCCCGTTCAGTTTGAAAGAACTCATCCACATCCTGCAGGCAAATTCATCACAGCTTTAAGACCATCCTGACATCCAGGTTAGAATGAAACTGTAGGAGTCCCGGCTCAGCACCTTGTGGCCCTCCTTTCTCTTCTCCTCCACAGCTTGGCTCAGTCGATTGAAAATGGTTTTCTTGATCTTCTGTCTGCCTGGAGGCTGGACACACAAATCAGGTTTTACATTCAATTACTTCATATTAAATGCTGTTTGTTAACATTTAGACATTTATGGGAGCTGACTCAAACAAAGACGCTCCTTTATTGTATTATTAAAACACAAGAACTCAATAAAAGCTGTCGCACGAGGTGCAACTCATCCAAACAGGATGTTTGTCTTCTTCTCTTCGTGACATAAAACACACCGAACGACAAACTGTCTCTAACACAGTCTTGTTTGCTTTGGGTTTTGTTTTCCAAGTTTGGACGTCAGATTCTCGTAATGTTCTCTAGATGTCCTCAGTTGTCCTCGTTAACGTCACCTCGTCATGCTCACTTCCTGCGCTGCTGCTGGTCAGGCTTCGTTATGTCCTCTCGACTTCCTACACTTTTGTTTTAGTTAATAAAGTCCTTTCCTGAATCCTGAATTTTGCAGCTTTTGGGCCCGGTCAGCAGTCGTTGTGACACACTGTGCATCTACACATTCTGTACAGAACACTTTAGCTGCTTCATGCCAAAAGCAGGAAAGTTCCTTGAAGGAACATGTTGCCCTCCACTTGTCATGCCAGAGATCTTCTTATAAAACATGGCTCGTATGTGTTGTAAAAGGACTTTCAGCTGCTCAGATTTTAACTCAATATTTGTAAAACTGTCGGGACTTTAGCTTTTTTTTTGTTGTTGCTTGTTTTCTAAGACTAGTTAGCTGTGGTGGCCATCTTGAATTAGGTTGACTCCAAAGTCCAATAATGGTCAGTCATGTCATCTGGACAGTTTCTTTTTTTTTTTTTTTTTTTTTTTTTTTGTGGAAAGCCGTTTCACCCTCTATCCAGAGGGCTTCATCAGTCTGAGGAGTCCCAAGTAAACTGTTTTCCCCACTAACCAGTACACTCCTTTAGTGGACCAACCAGTTTGCTGGTGATAAGATGGTTTCTGGGGACTGTCCTGTCCCCCGTCGACTCCTCCCAGGTAGGCAGCCACAGCCAAAGTGATTCAAGACAACAAAGTTCATGCTCAGTCATCCAGGTACAAAATCCAGTAATGGTCAGTCAGGTCGTCTGGACAGTTTCTTTATTTTTTGTGGAAAGATGCTTCGCCCTCTATCCAGACGGGGGACAGGGCAGCCCCCAGAAACCATCTTATCACCAGCAAACTGGTTGGTCCACTAAAGGAGTGCACTGCTTAGTGGGGAAAACAGTTTACTTGGGACTCCTCAGACTGACGAAGCCCTCTGGATAGAGGGCGAAACGTCTTTCCACCAAAAAAAAAAAAAAAAAAAAAGAAACTGTCCAGATGACTTGAATGACTATTATTGGACTTTGTACCTGGATGATTGAGCATGAGCTCTGATGTTAACTCCAAAGATTAATCAGCAGCAGATGTACATTCAGTATCGACTTTCTGCAAGTTTCATTGAAATTCGTCAATTGGCTCATGAGATATTTTGCTAACTGATGGACCAAAACATAAAAACATTATTGTTCGTGTTCACCTTTTGGTAGCAGGTGATAATAAAAGTAAAATAAAAATAAAATAATGTTTTATTTCAGCTCCCATCTGTTTTTTAATAGCACCATTTTGGTCACATGACAGACTCGCCTTTAAGGCTCTTTTGGTGAATGTTTAAGCTTTTATTGCAAGTCTCTGTCATGAAAAGGGATCCCATTAAACTCTAACTTGCTGCAGTTCACTGAGGCTGAAACTGGGAGGAAACCTACATCTGAACTCGTCAGGAAGACCTCCACAGCTTGGTTTGTGCTGAGGACGCTGTGATTCGAAACCTGCCTCAGGAAAGTCTCCAGCGCCCTGCAGTACGGCTGCCACTCGCCCAAAGCCAGGAATCCTGCAGAGAAATCGACCACATGCAGCACACAAGTTCTAAAACACAGCTCGGCTTGAAAAAGTTGTTTTTATGTTTTCTGCTCCTGTCTTCACTCACCCAGCTGTTTCATGACCTTGGCAGACGCATTCACGTGAGGCCTCGTGGGAAGAGGGGGAAACTTAAAAAGAGGCAGAGAGCAACATTTTACTTCACTGCACCACAAAAGATACTACCATATTTTCTGGTGTATATATATCACAGTTTTATGCATAGATTTGTCAGTCCTGCGACTTATATACGTTTTTTTTTTCCATATTCATAGCAATTTGTGACTGATGCTTTAAATTTCGAAGAACTGCAACAGCAAGTCCTCCCGTGCACGCTCGCCTCACTCGCTTTATGCACTTTGGTAAGAGTTCCTGTTTTAAATGAGCTATACAAATAAATTTCACTTGACTTGACTCAGCTGGTGCAGGCGGAGGAACGCTGGAGAGCTTGCGACTCTAGCCGCGATGGTTGGATGGATGGCGCTGCACCGCCCAGGCGAAATGAAGCTGTTTTGAGCATTAAATAAATGCATAATAAACACGACGGGTCAGCAGTGACACATAATAAATGTGACTTATACGCCGAAGTGACTTATATATGTTTTTTCTCTCTTCGTGGTGATTTTTTTGACTGATGCGACTTATACGCCGGAAAATACGGTAGTTTTGAAATGCACACCAACACTACACGTATGTGACACAGTCCTGTCACAGTATAAGTAAACATGATGCAGATCCTAAAAATCAGCAACAAAATTCAAACATATTCTAAGATTCAACTTCATTTTCTTCATGTCTGGACTTTTTAGAACCAGAGTCCTTCCTAGATACAAAAAGGAGGACGTAAGGGAGGGGAAGAAAAAAACAGAAACCAATGAAAACATAAATGTGTGACAGTGTTAATAAATGTAGCCATTCTTTTGTTTTAAATTGAGAAATTTTAATTTTCCCTATTTCTGCTTTTTGGATGCATTTACCTTTTCATTTTACTTTACTTTAAGTAAACGTTTGACCAAAGTACATCAGGTTTGCAGCTCAACAGCAGCTTTTCTCTGAAGGTTTTTAACACTGGTCAGCTGCTTTTAGCCACGCCCATCTTTTTGAGGGCCTCTTTCTTTATGAATACCAAAACACATTTTGTAAAGAAAAGAGTAAACAAGTATTTTCAGCTTTTAAAGGTGACATTTCACAGACGTTTGCCATTTTGTTATTTTCCTAGAAAAATAACTTAAAGTGGAGGGAAGCATTTTTAAATATCCATCCATCAATCTTTTTAAATACTAGAACAAATAAAACAAAAAGAAGTCCCTTTGTATGTTTAATGCATTTTTTTTTTCATTTTCATTTAGTTTGTTTGTGGGGTTTAAGGTAATAGGAGGGATTTCAGAACTAAAAGTTTCCTCAAAAAGAGTTTAACAATCAAACAAAACAGGAGTATCTGTCATTAGTAAAAGTCCAGTTTCTTTTCATTTCTGACACGAGCACACAGTTTTACACTGGTTAAGTTACAAGTAAATAAAGATGAACACGCATCCCAAAATTTCTACAAACTATGATTTTAATTGAATTATTGTCAGAAAATATTGCCCCGTCTATGTTTACCAGGCAAATAACTGTGCGGTTTGTATATCAATGCATAAAAATATCCTTACTATGACTCCCTGTATCCCAGGTACATCGTCCTGAGTGAACAGGTGCTGCTGCAGCCATTCGAAGTCGTCATAGGTCCGGTCCACATGGTACTCTCCTGTCCCAGACAGCTGGAACGCACCACAGAGGCAACAAGTCATCTTAGCCTCATTGTCATTCATACATTATCAGGACATGATCTTTGGAGCAAGAAAACAAATTATTTTCACACCTTTTGAGAAACAATGATAAAGGTAAGAGCGTCCCCGTCTTGCAGCGCCTCTGTAACTTTGATGGAGTCCCCGTGGACCGTCAGAACTGAAGACACGTCGTTTACCTCTTCCTGCAAGAAAAAAAGCAACATATGCAAAACCGGCAGAAGATAAATTCCTATTAATACAACGAGTTCAGTGAAGGTCACATGACACTTTCAGAAACAACTATCAGGTGAACTTACCATCATTGTCAAGCCCACAGGACTTTGTGTTCAGCTTTTACAAAAAAACGCTTCAGTCTGCTTTTATCTCAATAAAGGCACAAAACTTGGAGAAGACTTTGTTTCTGCTGGTTTTAGTCCAAGCTTCAGCTGCTGAGAAGGCACAGGATATCCTCTGGGTCAAAGTGCACAGTGGCCCTGAGAGACATGAGCCGAGTCAAACTGTGCCCAATCTAAAGTGCTGGCGCAGGGAAATAGAGGAGATGAGTAAAAGGTCTGTTAGTCTGTAAATGTGGAGCTTCGGACACACCCACACCGAAAAAAATACCGTAACGGTCCACTCACTTATCTGGCTGTCAGCTCTGCAACGTTCTAACCACTGGATTTACAAGCTCTCGTAAAAAAAAAAAAAAACTCAGAAAAACAAGTTTTCCAAAGTCATCTCACCGTGACTTGAAAATGAACACAACATACAGTTTGATTAAAAATGGTTTATTATCAACGTAACCATAAACCGGAATACAGGATGCTAGTAGTAGTAAACGTCCTCATCTTCAAATATATCTTCCCAAAAAAAATTGCCGTTTGGTGCCTCGAAACTGTAACGCTGATGCTGAGCGTTCTCCGGAAGGAAGCGCCACTGGAAGTGTGACTCATCCACAACAAAGCTCTCGTCGAAGCCATGGAAGAAGTCTGAGAAACTGAAGTGGAAGTTTGTCTGAGGTTCATCATCTTCGGGGTCGAAAGAGGCCTCGGTTTCTAGGTAAGCTTCATGGCCCACCAGGTCATACAGCCTCCTTTTCTGCTTGTCTGAGAGCACGGCGTAGGCTGGTGAAAAGGAAAAAAGAAGAGGGACAAATGAAAGAAGAGCTCATTAACTGGATTCAAGATGTAGATAATTATAAAACCTGTAGTGAAATTAAAAACATAATTAATTTTGCTTTTGTAAAATACACCTGTAAATGCAAAAGAAAACGGTTTATCATCACCTTCAGCAATCTCCCTGAAAGTTGTCTCTGCATGTGTGCTCTTGTTCTTATCCGGGTGGTACTTCACTGCCAGGCTGCGAAAAGCCTTTTTTATCTGGCTGTCCGTGGCTGCTGGATCAACATGAAGAGTTTCATAGTAATTTTTACAAGTTTCTGAGGCTGAGGCAGGATGAACTTCTGCTGTGAGGCAAAGCAACAGGACCACACAGACTTGCATCCAGAGGAAACCCATGTTGAGCTCCTGAAACACAAAGGAGAACTCAGATGTTTATCTTGAAGCCAACAGCTGCTGCTTTTGACACCTTATTTGGATATTCAAACAAATCTACACATCAGCAGACTTGTTTTAAAGCCCTGCTCCAACTCACCAGCGTACACAAATAGCTTTAAAAGCAAATAAAGTATTGGAGACTTGATTCGCAGTTGCAGCTTTATGTTTTGTCGTGTATATATGTATATTTTCTTACCAGTGTCAATTATTTCCTTGTTAAAAGCGTGCACCGAGCGAGCAGGTGAGTTGTTTCCAAATTTCACCACTAGAGGGCGTTAGACAACAATCTGAGTAAACCGTAGAAGAAGAAAGCCGTCTTCTTCGTTGGTGCTAAAGATGTATCAAAGATGGTAAACAACGCTGGGGCCTTGAAGTGTTCCCGAAAACAACACAAGCCTCCTGTTAGCTAAATAGTTTTGTAGTCATTTCATATAACCCGCAAAAACGATTATTCGACTATGAACAGCAGACTTTTTCTATTTATGGTAAGATTAAATAAAAAATGATCATTATTGTGTGTGTTTTTTTTGCCAGGTCAGACGACGTTTGTTAGCGATCATTAGCTCTGCTAGCGAGACAGGTAGTCGCACCTCTACGGACTTTTAATAGTTTGTGAAATATCTACCAACACAAAACGCGTAAATTTAATCAGATATTTTATTTATGTTTAACCAAAGTAATCACATCTGTTCATCAGTAATAACAAAGGTGCTACTTACTTGGAGGTTTTCTCACACGTGCGTTCAATTTTAGCCTAATTGTCTAGTTGATTTTCCAGGCTTTTTTAATTTTATTTATAACTATTAACATTTATTATTATCGGCTTTAAAAGCTCTAAAATAATAATAATAATAAAGACTCCTTACTTTTAGTAACTTCTTTCAAATTTACAATGGATCTGCAGCAGTCTTGACGGATTAGAGAGATCTTCCTAGCTGTTGTCTTCCTACTGGCTTTCTGTATAATGTAGGATAAAATTTAAGATTTTTCTTATCACCTGTGTACTCAATGATGACACTGCAGTTTATCTTAAAGTTCTAATTGTGCTCGATAGCAGCACAAGAAGTTTTTGTTGTGAGAGAGCACGTATGATAAATACTTCCAAGTCCAGAAATGAAGACAGTTGTTTTTAGTTTCCAAGGTCCTGTGTTGTAGAACTAGTTTGCAGTCAGTGCTGCAAGCTTAGACATTCTTTTGTCTTTCAAGTTAAACTGAAAATTTACCCTTCAAAAATTCAAATATCATTTTTATTGTCATTTGCATGAATTTTTGCAAGTGAGTGTTATTCAGGTAATCTCGTTTATTTTTATTTATATATTGTTTTTACTTTGTAGGCCTTTAGTTAGATTTTTTGTGAAGAACTTTGAAATCTATCAGTGTTGTTTAAATTAAGGTCAAGTTAACATGCATTGTTTATAAATTTTTGTCTTGCAGATCTGTTGGCGGTGAATTGCATTACTTCAAGGAAAACCAACAACAAAGAAGCAATCTATGGCATCCTGACCTGTATATGCACACATACACATGAGTGCTGATTTCTCTCTGAGCTGGGCCCGGCGCCATGCCTGACCGGGACAGTTCCTACCTGTCAGGTAGTGGTGGGAGTGGTGGCAGTCTGGTTGAGGAAGGAGGACCTGGGTCTGGTTTATCAGGGAGTTCAGCAGACGGCCGTGGAGGCTCTGGCACAGGTGTTGGGGGAAACGTCTATGGATCAGGAGGCATGGGTGGAGCAGGGGTGCCCGGAAACAGCAATGGATTTGGGAACAGCAGTGGTGGGGGGCAAAGTATGGGACTGGCTTTGGATGGCATCTGCAGGGACTTCATACGCAACGTCTGCAAGAGAGGGAAGCGATGCCGCTTTAGACACCCAGACTTTAATGATGTTCCAGACTTGGGAGTGCAAAAGAACGAGTTTATCTTCTGTCATGACTACCAGAATAAGGAGTGCATGCGCTCCACCTGCCGCTTTGTTCATGGATCTAAAGAGGATGAGGACTATTACAAGAAAACGGGGGCGTTGCCCCCCAGACTGAGAGGAAGAGTCGCAGCACGACTTGGCCTCTCCCCAATGGATCTCCCTCTCAGCCGTGGGGAGGTTCCAATCTGCAGAGACTTCCTGAAGGGGGAGTGCCTGAGAGGCAATAAATGTAAATTTCGCCATGTCCAAAAAGACTACGAATATGAGTCTTCAAGGGTTGGTGTGGGCAGTGTCGTGGGGCAGGGTGCCAGTGGGATGGTGAATGCAGGGGGAGGTATAGGTGTAGGGGTAGGTGCTTATGGAGGGATGCAAGGACTTGTGGGAGGTGGAGGTAACATGATGGGGACAGGCTGCACTAACCTGGGCGGGTGCAGAGATCCAGGTTTGTCAGCGGTTGGGGGGTTGGGTGGAGGTGGTATGAGTGGTTGTCTGTCCATTGGATCGTCAGGACAACGACGTTATGACAGAACCACGTACTCCTTGTACGACCCCCTGCTCGAGAGTGGCCTGTTTGATGCTGGTTCTCTGGAAGCTTCCATTGACCACACCGCCCTTCAGCTGAAGAGGCGAAGATTGGAGGGCCTTCGTCTGACCGATGGGAGCGGAGCTGGGCACTATGAGTTGGGGGTTCAAGCTACACTCGCACCTCGGCCTCTGGAGTACAGATTCCTCGAGGAAGAAAATTCCCTGCTGAGGAAGAGAGTGGAAGAGTTGAAGAAGCAGGTTAGAAAAAGAACTACAGCTTGACATCCCTTGAAAAATGTTTCCATACACTCTGTCACAAAGGCCTGATTCCCAAAGTTTTTTTCTACTATTTTATTTAAATCCATTTTTTAGATTAAAAAAGTTATCTTTACATAGAACGCTTACAGAAATAAACATATATTGTTTTGAGACCAAATAAATTAGCATTGTGGAGTCCAAACATCCAGCTTTTATTTTTCTTAGACTAAGTTACATATAAGATTAAGTGTTTATAGATCTACAAAAGCCCCAATCCTTGACAGAAGTGGGGTAATATAATAAACAGTTTGCAACTTTTCTTCCAAATTGGGTTTGGATGTTGTGTACTATGTGATTTGACATGTTTTAAAACTTTAATTTCATATTTAATTAAAACCACTTACCTTGTTTTATTGTTTTATCAGAAGCACATGTTTTATCAGATTCGCTCAGGAAATTCACTGTCCATGATTGTCATGAATATTTTGAATTTCATTTGTCTACATATATTTTTTAATACTTGGAGTTCATGTTACTCTGTGGTATAGATAATGTTATTCTCAAAATTTTATTGACGTAACAGTATTTTACCGAGTAACGAACTTCTCACCTGTACTTTTGAAAAACTTAACATTAGCTCTTATCTGAATCATCAGAAAGCATGCATTTAGTTCTTTTCTCTTACTGAGTTTTAATCTAAATATTAAAACAACTACTAATACAGCCGGGGACTACATTTGTTTCTAACTGTTTTATATAGACAATGCAGAGAAATCCAGTTTTAGCAACTTTAAGCTGGGTCTTCAAATTAAGGAATGGATAATCTGTGCCAACGGTAGTGCATAATTGAGATAATGTCAGCAAATTTTCAAGATTTTTCTAAAACTAGAAATTTTATCCAAAACTGCACATTCTAGTGTTTCACAGGTTTAATGGACTCCTTGTTGAGACAGCCAGTAAAAGCACAAGACAAACTTATCTTTCAGTATCTAGTTAGTATTTGATAATGTTCCATGTATTATTTTGCACTGGTCTCATCATTTTTCTAAGTCTGGTTTTATCTGCTCCTCAGGTTTCCAATCTCATCGCCACTAATGAGGTTCTCCTGGAACAAAACGCCCAGTTCCGGAGTCAGGCCAAGGTGATGACGCTGACCTCCACTCCTGCTCCCACTGAACAGAATCTGGCGCCCCCTGTGGGTGCAGTGAGCTCCTACAACCACAGCATCGCTCAGACTCACACCACTCTAAGCAGCGCAGGACTGCAGCCTCGGCCTGTCACTCAGCAAGACCTGGTAGCACCCACGGGTGCCCCTGCTGCACCACCGACTAACGCAGCCCCACCCACAGCGCCCCCACCACACCTCAACCCAGAGATCACTCCTCTCTCAGCTGCCCTCGCGCAGACCATTGCTCAAGGAATGGCACCGCCTGTTTCCATGGCGCAGGTGTCTGTGTCTGTGGCACCAGTGGCCGTGTCCATGACGCAGCCTCTGCCTGGCATTACCATGAGTCACGCCACCACCCCCATGGTGTCGTACCCCATTGCAAGTCAAAGCATGAGGATGACGACCATGCCTCACTGAATAATTGTTAAACTATGGAGTCAGACTTTAATAGACAGTTTTAACATTAAAAGCTTTTTTGACGATTTTGCAGTCAACTGAACAGAGAGAGCCGTGAGATGTGGAAACTTTATTTTTTTCTTATTTGTCCCTAAATCACACCATTGTTTCTTTTTGCACTGTTACAATTATTAGTCTCCTGAACATCAACAGTGATAAAGATCTGTGTGTATCAGTGGGCTCTTTTCACCTCAGAAAGTCAACAAACTCCCATGTGTGAAGTTTCTCGCAGTGTTACAAACTATTCAGCAGGACTGCTGTGTGTCCATGCTTGGGCATAAAAAAATCGTTTGAATCAGTTTGTGTATATATTTTTCTGGGTTGCTTTGTTATAAATTAACTTTGTTACTTGGATCATTAAAAAAAAAAAAGTTGTAGCAACCACTCAACAGAGAATCGTGTATATGCCTTATTTTTACATCAACATATTCACAGTTTAATTCTCAGAGCTCCATCTTACAGTAGATGGAGATCTGCAGGCAAACGTGGTTTCCAAGAGTTGACTGCTTCTAACATCCTGTTGATCCAGTTGTATGGGAGAAGTCACATTGTGCAAACATTAATGTTTCCAGGAGCATTAGAGCTGCACGATTTTCTTTTAAACAACAGCAACCCTGCTGTAGAATAACGGCCTAAATTAAAATCGTGCTTTCTGATATTTAGGATTTGTGGCAGGGGCTTCAAAAAGCTATAATTACAATTTTAGTTAAATATATGTTTATTAACAGTAATAAGCACTGAGTGAGAAATTATGTGGAAAAGCAAAACAACTAAAATCCTTACAGAATTTAAACCACAGACACTGAAAGGGCTCAGAATGAGGTGGTGTGCTTGGTTTAGAGTTGTTTATAAATAGAACTGTTCCGTGAGCTGTCTTTAAATATGCCTGAAAATAAATATTTTTGTGACCGGAATGATGATAAAGCTGGGCACCTCAAACTTAAGATACATTTAAATTAACTAAATCTTAATTAATTGGCATTAAATAATAGGGTTTCTGTTATTCTGCGGTAATTACGTTGATAACCGCAACAAAAAAAAAAAAAACAGTGACGCAGCAGCAGCAAAAAAAAAAAAATCAAAGAATGCATTTTTTTTAAGTGGGCGTGTTTTTCATCCTGCTAACGGGGCAGGGTGAGGCACAGAAGTTGGTACTTTTTCCAGAACTGCTCTAATTCAGTCGTAACTGCGCCAATTCAGCGACAAGTAGCGTTTTTTACAACTAGATAATGCGCTAAATGTGATTTAACGTCGACTGGGACCGCGCGCGTGCAGCTGTGCGTCTGTTCCAACGGCCGCTGACGTCAGACATGAAACTTTAACAGTTCGGTTCGTGGACCCTCCATCTCGTTTAGCTTCTTATTTCTCGTGCCGACGCCTGCTTTAGGCACAGGCTGACCATGCAGAGCGACAAACCTGAGCCCACAGAGCCCGGTAAGGTCGCGGAGCGTCCGAGCACCAGCGGCGCTGCTGAGGAGAACACGCCGAGCGTCGAGACGGCAGATGCGGACAGACCCAGGGGGATAAGCGCCGTCGCGGTGCTGTGGACTTTCGGCAAATGTCTGGGCGCCCTGCTCCCAGTTTATCTGGCCGGCTACTATCGTGTCAGCACCAGTCTGCTGGTGTGCGGCATGATGGTGTACACTGGATGGAAACATGCCCGGGAGGCGAAGGAGGAGCGCCTCAGGTCAGCCATACAGCTGCTCGACAACGAGGAGGAGTATGCGTTTAGGAAAGTGTCTAAAATCAAGCGAGACCTTCCTGCGTGGGTAAGATCAGTTTGACTATCGTGACTGATTTTACTGTTATCATCTACAGTCTCCCTTAAACCCGGGGAGTGTAAAGAAAAAGGTTTGTAAGCTCAATCATCCATGTAGATAAATCACAACAAAGGTTAAATCATGTCAAGGTCAAATCAACCTGTTAAGGTCAAATCATGTCATCTGGACAAGTTTCTTTAAGGGAGAAACGTTTGGACTTCATCAGTCTGAGGCCTGCCAACCCAGATTTGTCTCACAAATAGCACCTCCTTGATGCGTTTCAAGCCGGCCCTCTGGAATCCAAAGAAACTAGCATTACACTTGCAGAAAAGGAGATCATCCGTCCGTAACAATTAAATGTTTTAGGTCAGATGGCCAACTTGCTACTCGCAGAAACAGCCTGAGGAACACCAAAGACAAAGTTAGGGGTGCACCCATAAATCGGCCGTCCGATTTATTTATTGGCCCCGATTTCCTTAATTTTGAGAGATAGTAGATCGGTCGATGCTTACACGAGAAATCGATTTTTCCAATCTTTTTTTTGTGTGTGTGTAGTTTTAACAACAATCGTCAAAACTTCATTAATATTTTAGAGCACTACCTCGTGGCCAGTTAAAACAAGTTTGTATTATTTCTAGGATATTGTTCAAGGGTGTGTGTTTTTCAATAAAATGAGATTGAAAATCGAAGGTGCGTTGTGACCATATAACACCTGACAGCGTCACTTACACAACAAAATCGGTATCGGCCGAAATCGGCAGATCAGGCTTTTTAGAGATCGGCGATTGGCCAGAAAACTGCAGTCGGTGCACCCCTAGCCAAAATGGTTCAGACAAAGAAAAATGTTTATAAGCTCAATCATCCAGATAGATAAATCACCAAAAAAAAGGTTAAATCATGTCATCTGGACAAGTTTCGTCTTTTATCCGAAAGACTTGATCGGTCAAGCCAGCCCAGATCTATCTCACAAATAGTCTCCTGGGGGGTGTAGGTTACAATAAATTAAGCAAACCAACAGCAATTTGTCACTCATATGATATATGTTACATCCTCATAAAACAATAGCCAATTATCTTGGGGTCCTCAGTGAAAAAAGTACCTAGCAAGTGTCTTTTTTTTTTGTTTCAAACACGACTTTGTTTCTTTATAATTTTACCTCAACGCTTGTAAATTTCTTTCAAAGTTGTTGGAAACCACTTTGGGACTCCTTCAGTGTACTGCATCGCTTTCAAAGACCCTTCAAACACTGTAGAGGGCTTGAGTTGCAATTAAAAGTGTGGAAATGGTCCTGCAGACTGTGCAGAGTGTTGGCAGGAGATATTGAACAGCTCTACCCACGCTGGCCTGTTTTGACTCAGAGCAACATGCTACACCCAGACGAGGTTCCTGTGGGTTTGCTGGGATTTTCACGATTGCTTGCATAACCATTCATCATGTCTCCTCTCATAAAAGTATTCAAAATAAGTGCATCCTTGTACCAACTTGCAGCTATATGCTCAACAAATATCATAACTTCAAATTCGCCTCTGAAGGAAAACCCATAAAATATTAATAGGGAAAGCGTTTCAAACATTTAAATTGCATAGATATCCTGTAATCTCCAGTAAATGGTAATCTATATGCTTTAAAGTGCTCTTTGAGCTGAGAGTTCTTTCCACATTCGTTCTGCTTTCTTACTGCATTTCTTGACTCATTTCCTCCTCCTTTTGTGTGTTTATCAAGCTCAATAGAGTTAAAGTACAATGCCTGCATTGTGTTTATTGTTTTTTTTTTTTTTTTTGCTGTTGTGTTTTTAGGTCAATTTTCCAGATGTGGAAAAGGTTGAATGGCTGAACAAGGTAAGATAAGCTTTGCATTTTATATTCAATGTATAATCAGTTCAAATGCGCCTCCTTCCTTCAGCAGCCCAGCTGTTGTGCTGACTGACGTTTCACAGCATATGGCTGGTTAACTGCTGGTGCTGCAGTGTGTGCTGTTAGCTCAAAGGTGGTAGCACTGCTGCTGAGGAGGCCATACCTCCCTCAGCATAGGTGCTGTGCTGCAGAACGCAGGCCCAGCGCCAGGCGACCCCCTCAACATTTCCATGTCATTGCAGCCAGGCAGGAAGGAGGAGGAGCTGTACAGTCTCTTCAGACTCAATATAATTACACACCCTTTATGCCTCCAACCCAGCGCAATGAACGCAGTTATGTACACACACCAAAATAACCTTTTCCATCATTAAAAGAATCACAAGATCTGAATGTCTGACGAGACAAAGCCATGGTTTAAGACTAGTAACTAGGGTGGGGTGAGGTGAGGGGGGTGTCATCAGATTGTCTTTGTCCTCCACAGAAGCAAGCAGTTGATGACTCACCCCATACTTATGCCAGATTATAGCCAGCACTGTGGCTTTTTTTTTTTTTTTTCCACAGTCACAGAAGCACACAACCAAACACTGCTTCTGCTTTTACAGTCTTCCCATGTAAGAGCGAGGTTCCTAAAAATTCACAACGCCATGTTAAAGTTCATTGTCGACACGTGGTTTGCTGAATTCATGGATCCAGAGTATGTCAGATCCAAATACGACAACAGCTGAGAAGGCTCAACTCTCACCATCTGTCTCTGTCGTTCCTCTCTTGTTGGTTTTGAATGCCAAGGCATTTCACAGATAGTTTTGCTACTTTGAAAACTGCGGTCTACAATTAAGTATGGGATGTTTTTTTTTTTAACGTAAAGCCATGCGCTTGGTGACGTGTCCAGGTACTGCAGCAGGTGTGGCCCTTCGTAGGCCAGTACATGGAGAAGCTGCTGGTAGAAACCATCGCTCCATCCCTCCGAGCCTCCAGCAACCACCTCCAAACACTCAGCTTCACCAAGGTGGACATGGGAGACAAGGTGATGACACTTTCTGTTAGCAGTGCATTACTTCGCAGAAAATCTTCTTTTATTGAACAAATAAATATACGTGTTTCTTCTTGCGTCAGGCGATGAAGGTTGTAGGGATCAAGGCTCACACAGATAACGACAAGGGCCAAGTTCTGCTAGACCTGTACATTAGGTGATTGTTTGTGTGGTGCACTTTGTTTATTATGGCTGTTGTAACCTTTGTAGATGCATCAGTGTAGGTAACCTTTCTGTTCTCATATCCTCAGCTATGTTGGGAATGCAGAGATCAATGTTGAAGTGAAACGATACTTCTGCAAAGCTGGAGTCAAAGGGATCCAGGTGTGTTGTTGTGTTCAACTTGATACAATATGTGTTATTAAGTAAAATGCCATGTTATATTTTTACTCCTAAGAGAAGAGTCCCTTTTTGGTGAACAGCTGTATTTCAACAGTCAGTCTTTTTGTTTCTCTGTTTTTAGCTACATGGAATGATGCGCGTGATTCTGGAGCCTCTGATTGGTGATGTGCCCATTGTTGGAGCGGTCTCTATGTTTTTCATTCGTCGACCTGTAGGTCCATTTAAAGACATCTTTGTTTTTGTTGCACCTTTAACTCACATTGCTGAGGCTATCGTGTTTCCCAATTTAATCTTGACGTTTTATCGTGGTATTGATTTCGCGTCAGTCCTGATTGATTTTCTCTGCTCCTCTTTCCAATTCCTTCCCAGAAACTAGACATCAATTGGACTGGACTGACTAACTTATTGGACGTCCCTGGACTAAAGTGAGTCTTGCTGAAATAGACCCTCCTGCGTTTTATGCAAAAGTAATAAATAATTTATGAATCTCCACTCCTCCCACTGAAATATTACTCTGATTTGTTGCAGCGTCATGTCGGACAGCATGATTATGGATGCCATTGCTTCGTTCTTGGTGCTGCCCAACCGTCTTGTTGTCCCCCTGGTTCCTGGTTTGCATGTGGCTCGCCTACGCTGTCCTTTGCCCAGGGTGAAGCTCTGATACACGCCTGCATCTTTTACTTTGATTCACATCTCAGCAAAGACCAAAAACAGTCTTTTTTTTCCTTCAGGGTGTGGTTCGCATCCACCTGCTGGAGGCACATAATCTGGCAGCCAAAGACAACTATGTGAAAGGAGTTATGGCTGGCTTGTCTGATCCCTACGCCATATTAAGGGTGGGGCCTCAGACCTTCACCTCCAAGCACATCGATAACACAGACTCTCCCAAGTGGGGAGAGATGTATGAGGTAAGGAGAAGGGAGACATTTTTAGAATGCTAGACATCGGTGCCATCCTACCACAACAGTTACGACTTGTTGAACGTCTTTATATATTTCATCAACATGAACGTCATTTCACATTGAGGGATTGGATTAGCGTAGCTTTGACATTCGTAAGACATGCAGCCATACAAATCCCTCTGTCAGTCTTCATTTCATTATGTGTGTCCTATACATAAGGTTATAGTCCATGAAGTGCCGGGTCAGGAGTTGGAGGTGGAGGTTTATGACAAAGACCCAGACAAAGATGACTTCCTGGGAAGGTACATGTGCATTATTCATGTCCTTTTTTGTGCTTTCATTGAGTCTCCCATTGTTGTTCACCATTTGGGCTGGGCGATATGGACCAAAATTAATATCTCGATATTTTAAGATGAATGACGATATAACTGTATATCGCTTTTTTTTTTTTCTTTCCATAAAGTAATAATAATATATTTCTGAGTCAAAACTTTGTCCCAATTGTCACACTGGCACATTTATTAACATACAGCTGTAACTGTACAAAATAAATGTCTAAAAAATAAACTATTACCGGTAACTGCATTTTACTACATTAAATAAAAATCCTCTTCAGCTGTGTTGCCTTCACAACATTATTTAGCCCCATTGTCTTTAGCCATCTTGTTCCACAGTTGAGACTGGGGCCGTGTCTTTAGAGATATAAGCCACTGCTTTATTAATGTCGTGCTACCTCTCACTGTTCCTCTCATAAAGCACAGCATGCTAAATGAGGGTTTTTTTTTTACCGTGGTTTGTTTCAGGGAAGGAGGCTGAAGTCAGTCGGAGTTGCAGTTTCACATACGTGTCATACTCCACTTATACCGCCATTTTAAATGGTGCAAAAGATTCGTAGTGCCGATCTTTTGTCGGGACTTGTTTTCGACATTGTCTACAGAAAAAAAAATTCTGCTTCTCATCTGACAGCTCTCCAGCTCTCTGCTGGAGGTTTCTTCTTTTTAAAGGGAGTTTTTCATTTCCACTGTTGCCATTGTGCTTGCTCAGGATGGGAGACTGCAACAAAGTGGAGATTCAACAAGTCTGCTGGCTTCCTTAGATAGAGAACTTTACTAACTGGCTTTTCTATGTATGTGAATGTTCCTGTAAAGTGCCCTGAGACAACGTTGTTGTGATTTGGTGCTATATAAATAAACTGAATTGAATTGAACTGACAGTTTAAATCCAAACCATCTCCAAAAAACAGCCATTGTTTTGCTTTTTGCTCGCCGGCTCAGCTGCTCTTCGATATCCTGTCCCGAGTTTACTTGTGCTAAACTTTCCACCCACCTGGAGAAGAAGGGAGCAGGGGGAGCACGCGTGGGTGAGGGGCTGGATTTGTATTCAAGGAGGGAGACGGAGGGGCCACAGTTGGCGCAGACAGGAGAAAAAGAACTGCGCAGATTTTCAAATTTAATTATAACTCAACGCAGAAATATCGATATAGACAATATAGTCTCATATCGCGTATGAAATTATCTCGATATTTTTAAAATATCGAGATATCACCCAGCCCTATTCACCATCATCAACTATCATGAACAATCAGAGAAGGTCTAAAATATTTCAGTAATATAATTTGCAATGGAACTGCGTTCAGTCGTCTGTAATCTTTTTTAATTCCACTTTCAATGCTAATTTAATCTTCCGTTTCTTCTTGTTGTAGAACAACATTGGATTTAGGCATCGTGAAGAAATCCATAGTTGTCGATGATGTAAGTGAAAAGTTATTACCTTTTATTGATTTTTTTTTAATAAGCAACTTTCAAATCACCAAATTGAAAATGCACGCATGCCTGTTCTCGTTGTCTTTAGTGGTTCACTTTAAAAGAAACTCCATCTGGACGAGTTCACTTCAAGCTGGAGTGGTTGGCCTTGCTGCCAAACACCGAGCAGCTAGAGCAGGTTGCACTCTTTCATTCCCACTCATACATTACTGTAATGATTTTCTTATTTTTTATTACCGGTAATCTTCTGTGTCGTTAAGTCTGTTTTGTGTCAGATAATTGACGTGGAAAAACAATGTGTTTGAACTTCTTCAAGGTCCTAAAGAGAAATGAGAGTGTCACCAGCATGACTTCCAAACCCCCTTCTGCAGCTATCTTGGTCGTTTATCTTGACAAGGCTGAGGCACTTCCCGTGAGTCAAATACTTCTGCCCACATTCACGCTCCGCTCCGTGCTGCTTCCTGTGTGGGTAAACTGAGGCAGAGCTGGATCTGCCATCTGTCTCACATTCCACATCTCTGTTGCTTTCACCTCCAACCTTAGTCTCCGAACAAACATGGACGAAAGTGACCAACTTAACTGTTAAACAGAGATTTTAAACCAGTGCTAATATCACTCACCATACCAGTCCCACAATAGAACCTCAAAGAACTCGTAGAGTGAAACAGCCTTGTTGGAGTGTTTATGCAAACTTCCTTTTATGGTGCTTGGTATGACTCTTTTCTGTTGCCATGGCGATGGTAAACACACAAGACATTGCCACATGTTTTCAAAATGATGAAAAAGTTATATTTGTGTTTGCCTCACTTACAAAATACAGTTCACATGCTTTCGTGTGCAATCATATTTGCCTCCTGCCGTGTATATTTCAGATGAAGAAGGGTAATAAAGAGCCCAACCCCATGGTGCAGATATCTGTGCAGGATGTCACGAGAGACAGCAAGGTATAAATGTTGGGGAAGCTCATTAAAATACAGTAGGTTGTGTTTCTCATCTTTGATTTTAATGTATATTGTTTATTAATGTTTTCAGACTTGTTACACGACTGTTAATCCAGAGTGGGAGGAAGCTTTCACCTTCTTCGTCAAAGATCCTCACAAACAGGACATTAGCATTCAGGTAGCATTCAAATGAAATGCTATTCACAAAACTTGTGTCGCTCAGTGTGACAGCTGATTGTAACTTGTTTTACTTGAATCAGGTGAAGGATGCTGACCGCGTGCAAACACTGGGCAGTCTGACCATTCCTCTGCCCCGCCTGCTGGCAAATGCCAATCTGTCTCTAGACCAGTGGTTTCAATTGGAAAATTCTGACACAGCGAGTCGCATCTATGTCAACACAGTTCTCAGGGTAGGAGCATCTTTATCCAAAATTTAAATGTATGAAAAAAAAAAATCCAAATTAATGAGATTTTTGTTTATCCTTTTTTGGGTACATTTTTTTTCCCCAATCCGATGTAGGTCTTGTGGTTGGACGAGGACCGAATTTCATCAGATGTGTCGTCTGATTTGGCAGCTGGACTGTCCAAACAGCTTGCCCAACAAACCTCCCCTCATTCTAGCTTCGCTACAGAGGTATTGATGATTTCTAAACAAACAAACAAAAATACCCTGCTACAAACATATTTTATGAGCTTATAGTTGTATTTCTTTAATTTTTCAGGGTCTACTTAGAATCCACCTACTGGCAGGTCAGAATCTTATTCCAAAAGATAACCTGATGGGCGGCATGGTGAAAGGCAAGAGTGACCCTTATGTCAAGATCAATATTGGGGGAGAAACTTTCACAAGCCAAGTTATTAAGGGCAATCTCAACCCCACCTGGAATGAGCTGTATGAGGTAAACATGTAAACTGATGTTTTATCAACTTTAACCTTGATTAAGAGTATCTTTTAAAATATGTGACTTTGTTTGTTGTGCAGGTGATTCTAACCCAGCTCCCAGGCCAGGATCTGCATATGGAGGTGTTTGATAAAGACGTGGACATGAAAGATGACTTCATGGGCCGGTACACAGGTTTTTATACTATTATTCTGTACAGTAGTTGGATCAAAAAGTGTTTATTTAGATTTTTTACGTTTTGATATGCAGGTTGAAGATAAGTCTGAAGGACATCATTGATTCTCAGTACACTGATCAGGTGAAAAACTGCTGAATTTCACTTCTTTGTGGGATTAGAAATAAAAAAAAACTAATCTGAAGTTAAAATAGAGATTTGAGTTGGGGCTAACTCATTCAGGTACGGCAGTAGTTTTTATTATACTTGTGCGCAGATACATGGGGTATCTTAGCAAAAATGGTAAGCAACGGTTAAACTTTAATGTTTTCTAAAAGATAGTCAAGAAAATAATTCTCTGATCATTCTTTTTTTGTTCAGACCAGACCCGGATGCTTTTATGCTGAAATGTTTTCTGTTTGTTGGTCAGTGGTACTCTCTGAGTGATGTGAAGTCTGGGCGCATTCACCTGGTCCTGGAATGGGTTCCAACCTCTTCAGAGCCCGACAGACTGGATCAGGTCAGTGTTGTCAAATCAAGCAAAAGACAGATGGACAGACGGATGTGATTTTATTTTTTTAAAGGCTCAGTTCTTATTTGTGTCTTTAGGTTCTTCAGTTCTACTCCAGACAGTCGTACCAAAACAAGGCGGTGCCATCAGCAGGTCTACTGTTCGTGTTTGTGGAACAGGCAGATGGCTTACCTGTGAGTTCTTTGATACTATGATGGGCAGAATATGCTGTTAGCTTTTAAACTCCCTGGTAAAATTGTTTCCAATTCTTTTATTTTTTTCAGGTGAAAAAGAGCGGAAAAGACCCAAAAGTTGGAGTGGAGTTAACGCTTAGAAAAATGTCTCGTAAAACAACAGTAAGACACTAAACATTGCTTATAAATGTATCTCCGATTTTAATATTTGTAACAAATGTGTACTCTTATCATTAAAGTTTACTTATCTTTACATCCTCTGTGAAGGTGTGTGATCGCACAACATCACCCAAGTGGAACGAGGCGTTCTGCTTCCTTGTTCGTGACCCGAGAGAAGAAGTCCTTATTGTTAAGGTAATCATTTTGTCATACAGAGATACATCCATTTGGTCATATTTTATGTACTGTATGCTCCTGAGCTAACACGAAGGGTTGTGGTCATTTTTTTCCCAGCTCTCTCACAGTTGGACCCTGCCCATTGGTTCTTTGGTAGTTCCCATCAAAGAGTTGCTGTCTGAACCAGAGCTGGTTCTGGACCAGTGGTTCCATCTAGATGGAGCCTCACCAGAGAGTCAGATCCTTCTGAGGACTGAACTTAAAGTAAGAAGTATTTGTATTATGATTTTTTTCAGTAGCCCCCTCTGTCTGTCTTTAAATGATTTTTCCTTTTGTTGTTTTTGCAAAGGGTTGTCACGATGCTATTAAGAATATCATTTAAATTGTTTTATTATTTTGTTGTGAAATGTTGGGATAACATTAATGTTTACTAACAAAGTAATAAAATCAACTTAATTTCAGATGCTGATTCCTAGCAAATGTCCTGGCGCTACAGAAAAGGCCAAAATCACTGCGGCCTCAGACCCTGCTGCAGCTAAACGCCATCAGGAAACAGACACAGTGCTGAGGTGAGATACTTACTTTCATAGTGTGAATGTTTATGAAGTATTCACACTATTGTGAGCCCAATTTTTTTTCCATACGTTTTTCAGCATCTTTCTTGTTCCACAATTTTGTGCTATTTCAACAAATCGTATATCAAACTGTTCAGCTTATTCAGGAGAAGGCTGCTATGACTTTTGGTACTGGTGCAACTTTAGCTTTTCGAAATATTTCGCCTTTTCTGCCATTTTTTCCTCATAGAAAATGAATTGAGCTCATTTTACATCCTTCAAATCTTTAGATCTGTTTACAACCTTTTACTGCTCCTTTCGCATTTTGTTCTGATTCAGCTTCTTTCAGCTTCCTTGTGCAAATTTAAACTTTTTTCAGCTACTTTCAGCTTATTTCACCTGTTTTTTTCCAGCTGTTTTGTGCTCCTTCCAGATTATTTCTGCTAACTACAACACTGTTGTGCTTCTTCTAACTTCTTTCTGTTAATTTCAGCTTGTTCTGCTCCTTTCAGCTTATTTCTGCAAGTTTCAGCCTTTTCTGCTATTTCAGCTACTATTTAGCTGTTTTTATTCTAATTTTAGCTTATTCAGCTAATTCTAAATTTTTTGCGCCCATTTCAACTTTTTTCAGCCAAATTCATCAAAAATGTGTTCTCTCCATTCCTTCGGTTAATTTAAGCTTTTTTTCTGCCTTTTTAGCTATTTTTCAGCTGTTTTTTTTCCTCCCTTATTTCAGCTTTTTGCAGATAATTTCCACGTTTTGTGCTCATTTCTGCGTCTTTCAACCTAATTAGGCAAACATGTTCTTTCTGCCTTCTGCTAATTTAAGATTGTTCTACCTTTTCAGCTACCTTTTAAGCATTTGTAGCTAATTTCAGCTGTTTTCAGATAAATTCAAGTTTTTTGTGTTAATTTCTGCTACTTTCAGACTATCTAATTAACTTATTTCTGCTCATTTCAGCTTATTGGCATTTCTGCTAGTTTCAGTTATTTCAGCTACTATTTAGCTGTTTTATGCTATTTTTAGCCTTTTCTGCTAATTCCACATTTTTCAGCTCATTTCAAGACTTTCCACTTCCTTCTGTTAGTTTAAGCTTCTTTCTGCCTTTTCAGCAATTTTCTTTGCTAATTTCAGCTATTTTTTTCATCTAATTTACTAATTGTTGTGCTCATTTAAACATAATTCAGCAAATATGTGTTCTTTTTGCCTTCTGCTAATTTAAGCTTGTTCTTTCTTTTCAGCTAAAATTCATGTTTTTAGTTAATGTCAGCTGTTTGTAGTTCGTAGTTTGTAGTTGCAAGTTCTTCTGCAATAAGCATGCACACTGCACTTTTGCAGGAAATGCAATTTATCTAGTTTTCTTTGTGATCGCTTGCTTATGCCTCACTGGTACTCTTGTATGTGTGTTTAGATCAAGTTCAGTGGATATTCCTCCTGTGGAGACTATTGTCTCCTCAGTGACTTTGGATGAACGGGTTAATGTAAAGAAAACAGAAGTTGATGTGAATGAAGAGAAGATGGAAGAATCCCACAGCCCTGCTATCACACAACCCCCTCACACATCCCCAGACCTCACGTTTGCCAGTGAGGTAACAAATCAGAAAATGGAGCATGGCAAGTCCACATTTATTATTAATCAGTGCAGATTAAAATACTTAATCCACACAGGGACTGCTGAGGATCGTTTTACTGGAGGCCCAGAGTCTGGTTGCTAAAGATAACATGATGGGTGGGATGGTGAAGGGCAAGAGTGACCCTTATGCAAGGATCAGTGTTGGAGAGGATGTGTTTAAGAGCGCTGTGGTCAAGGAGAATCTCAACCCAGTGTGGAACGAGTTGTATGAGGTGTGTATAAAAGGGCTGCTCGTATCTACAACAAGCCTCCCAGGCATGATGTTGGAGTTGTTTGAACTGCTTTGTGTACTTCCAGGTTGTGCTGAGGCCTCAGTCAGGTCAGGACATGCTGGTGGAGCTGAATGATAAAGATATGGACAAAGATGATTTCTTGGGCAGGTGAGACTTAATGGGAATGTTTTGAACAAGGAGGTTCCTTATCTTTATGGTTTTGCTTCCTCATTAAAATGTGCAGCCAAGCGACAGACATTCTGTAGTGAAACCCTTTGAAAATGCTTTAAAATGACAACTGATATATAAATCAGCATGCATTATTTTCTGAATTTATAATAGTTTGGAACAAGAAGAGATCAAGCAGATTTTATTTGGGGGGAAAAAGAAAAACTACTGTAGTTCATGTTTCGTTTGTGTTTGAGGAAATGTAAACTTTCAAATATGTTATCACATCAACTAAATATGATTAGAAGCAATGATATTTCCTGGTTTGCAAAAAATAATTTAGTAATTCACTCTACTTTTATTGTTGAAGTTGCCATCACATCATGTGCATTTTGTTCTTTTTACTGAACAGGTTCAGGGTCAGCATTTCAGACATAATCCGTTCCCAGTTCATAGATCAGGTTAGTTTTCTCAACACTGTGTATCTAAATGAGTGACTCTTCCTTGTTGCGTTCATTAAGCAGTTTGTAAGTAACCCTCTCTGTTTCAGTGGTACACTCTGAATGATGTCAAGTCTGGTCGTGTCCGTCTCATACTGGAGTGGGTCCCGACAGTATCTCATAATGACAACCTGGACCAGGCAAGTCCAATTTAGTTGTTTATTTTTATTTTGATGCATTATGTCTATATGTAGTTGCATGTTATAAATCTTTACAGTGTTCATCATTGTAAATATGATCACAATCTGTTTACAGTCTTTGCCCTCAGAAAGCTGAGTCACTGTAATGTATTTTTGATTTGATTGCTGTCTGCAGGTGATGCAGCTGCAGTCTCGTCAGTCTTACCAGAATAAGGCTGTTCCCTCTGCAGCGCTGCTCTTCGTTTATGTGGACAGAGCACACTCGTTGCCTGTGAGTCAGCTCTTGTTTTACCCTGAAACACATTAAATTAGCCGTTTTTCTTTTAAAGATAAAGGGACATGCTGTTTAAACCATCTATAGTTGTGTTTTTGTAGCAACAAATGAATGTTTTTAAAGAACATGTTGTGTTTTACACTATTTTGTTGAGAGTAAACGCAAACTTGTCTCATTCTGTATCTTTCTTTGTCCAGTTTAAGAAAAGTGGGAAGGAGCCCAAAGCAGGTGCTGAGCTTGTGTTTGGAGGCACAACTTGCAGAACCAAGGTATAAAACTGATTATCAACTGAACAAAACAAAGACTTGTTGTCTTTGGTTTGGCTAATTTAGGGCTGCATCTTGTTTCAGCTTACTATTTTTTCATTGATTATTCTTATTTTATTTTAAACTAGTAATTTTTTTAATTGTATTTTGGTTAATAATATCTACCTACCTCCTACCTATGAAAGCCTCTGTTTAACAGGCATAAGATTAAAACAAACAATATTTATTTAATGCCATAAAACTTAAATATATGTCATCCACTCTTTATCATTTTTGCTTTTTTTTTATAGGTATGTGATCGCTCCAAATCACCTCAGTGGGGTGAGGCGTTTCACTTCCTGGTTCATGACCCTAAAGAGGAGATGCTCATAGTGAAGGTGGATGTTCTAAATGTTTCAACGCTAAAACATAAAACAAGCTGCTATTGTCAGGAACATCTCAGAGTTCTGACAGACTTTATTCTGGGTCTGTAGTTGTCCAGTGCATGGGATCAGTCCATGGGATCTGTGGTGCTTCCTGTGAAGGAGCTGCTTTCTGAACCACAGCTGGTTCTGGATCAGTGGGTACATCTGGATGGAGCTTCACCTGAAAGTGAAGTCCTCCTCAGGGCTGAGCTCAAGGTTTGTGAATATATTCACTCTCAGGTTATCAATGTGACTGACGCAAGACTTTTTCACAAAACACTTCAAGTCTGGACATAGATGCCTCCTGACTGCTTCAACGTGATTCTGAATGGACCGAGGACATGAGAGGCGTTGAAGCCAACCCACCCCGAATGCACCTTTTTATTGTAACGTGAGATAGTAACAGAGGCGAAACGGTTGACATGTGAATTGACTTATGAACGGCTAAACAACATTTTGTCAAGGAAACTAAGAGGAAATTTTGTTGTCAAACAGATTCTTGAGACAAAAATGACAGAAGTTCCAAAGCCATCTTCATCTGGGTCAAAAAAAGAAGTTCTGATCCCTCCTGCTGAAAACACCACAAAGGTCCTCAACAAGGAAGATACAAGCTCCAAACATCCAACAAATACGTGAGTCTTATTTGTCCAACTTGACCATTTATATGCTAAAACTGCTGCTTTATGCTTGACTTTAGACTAATAGGGTTTTGAAGCTTTGTAGAAAATGATCATAAATTACATTTTAGACAGTTTTAATAATGAATTGGCTCCTATTTTTAGGTCTTCTTCAGTGTCTGAGCAGCCTGCACGCCTTGAGGCCAAAGTTGATACTTTCCCTTCAACTAAAGTGAGTGACATCAAATAAAAGGAGACTTTATTTTGTCCTAATTGTCTTTTTTTAAACTTGTGTATCTTTTTTCCCATCAGGTAGTGGAAGAACCAACAAATAAAGATGAACATCACACACGGTCACATGCAGCTGTAAAGGAAGACTTTGAAGCACAGCAAGTCCAAGCAGAAGGGTGAGATCAAAGTGATTTATTTATGTATTTATTTGCATTTTTATTTCCCATCATCTTTTCCTAGAAAAACCATTACTGTGGAAAAAATACACACATAGCAACTCTTGTGTATTAACATCTTTTTTGCGCATGCATGTGTGTTTATATGTGAATGCAGTCCCGGTTTAGGAGATCTTGCTCAGGCCACGGTCACAAGTTTTCCTGCAGATACTTTGGCATCTGCAGAAGTCAAAGAAATTCCTAAAGTGTGTCCAAGTCTTCCAGCACACACAGCTCCTGGCCCAAACTTTGGTAAACAGGTGGGTTTGCTCGTTTTGATGCCGTAACAAAATGCTTCCTTTAAGCCCCACCAGATGTGTTAAACTAATCAAACATGTGTCATGGTTCACAGAATAAAAATAACAAGAGAAACTGCATTTCCTGCGAAAATGCAGTGTGAATGCTTATTGTTGAAGAACTTCCTGAAAAACAGCTGAAATGTAGCTGAAATTGAAGAACAAGCCTAAGTTTGCAAAAAAAAAAAGCAGAAATAACACATATTTGCTGAATTAAGTTTAAATAAGTGAAAATGAGCACCAATATCAAGACATCAGCTAAAAAAAAAAAGCTGAATAGTAGCTAAAAAGCAGAAAGAAGCTTAAATTACAAGGAGGAAGTAGAGAGAGCAGCATTGTGCCCAATTAGGCTGAAAGAAGCAGAAATGAGCTAAAAAAAAAAGTGGAACTTATCTGCAAAAAGCAGAAATTTACAGACACCCCCCAACCCCCGGCTGAATAGTTCAAAAGCAGAAATGAACAGAAAGGAGCTTAAATTACCAGAAGCAAATGGAGAGAGCACATTTTTGCTGAATTAGGCTGAACAAGTTTGAATTGTTTCAGAAATGTGGACTTTGCTGAAAAAGCTTAAATTAGCATAAAAACAGTTAAATGGTAGCTGAAATAGCAGAAAAGCTGAAACCTGCAGAAATAAACTGAAAGGAGCAGAACAAGCTGAAATTAGCAGAAATAAGTTCAAAGAAGCACAAAATTGTTGTCGTTAGTAGAAAGAATCTGAAAGGAGCACAAAACAGCTGGAAAAACAGCTGAAAGTAGCTGAAATAAAAAAAAAATGCACAAGGAAGCCGAAAGAATCTTAACCGCAACAGAATGTGAAAGGAGCAGTAAAAAGTTGTAAACAGAGCTAAAGATTTGAAGGATGTAAAATGAGCTCATTTCATTTTCTATGAGGGGGAAAAAAATGGTAGAAAAAGCTAAATATTTCAAAAAGCTAAAGTTATACCAGTACTCGTACTCAATAGGTATAGCACCCCTCTCCTGAAAGAGCTGAATCTTTTGATATAGGATTTGTTGAAATAGCACAAAAATTGTGGAACGAGTTCTGTGCTGAAAAATGTAGAGAATAGTTTATGGAAACTGGAATAATAAATATAAACAGGATCACTATAGTGTGAATGCTTCACACAATCAGGATATTTCCTGGTCATTTGATGGTGAATGGTCATGGAGACAGAGTTTCAGGCTGTTGCCTGAATTTTCAAAATAACTTCTCATCAGTTTTTCCAACCTGATTCATAATTCACTGAGCATGTGGACGTGCGCCTGTGTGGCGTGTGTTTCTATGGAAAAGAAGAACTTCAGAAACTCTAAATAAAACTGAACATTAGACACACTCTGCATCATTGTCTGTGCGGGTGGTTTGCTAAAAGAGCAAACAAGAAAATAAATTTTAAAGGCACACAAACTAGTGTAATATAAGTGACATTAAAATAAATTACATAACTTTACAAGAGGTATGTGTTTTATAGTGGTGCAAAGTTTTATTCCTGTATATTTTCCAACACTTCACTGCATCATCCTGTAGGGGGTGCTGAGGATCCACCTGCTGGAGGCCCAGAATCTGGTGGCAAAGGATAACCTGATGGGGGGCATGGTGAAGGGCAAGAGTGATCCTTATGTGAAGATTAACACAGGCGATGTTACTTTTAAGAGTCATGTTATTAAAGAGAATCTAAATCCAACATGGAATGAAATGTATGAGGTAAGTTCTGTAGAAGTAACGTTTGTTACATCTTTACGTATCGCTCCTGCTTCCTCTAACGTGCTTGTGTTTGTTTTGAACAGGTGGTTCTGAGTGGACACAGCGATCAGGGCATCATGTTTGAAGTATTTGATAAAGATATAGATTCTGATGACTTCCTTGGAAGGTGTGTGTCATGTTCATAAAATATAAGAAGTGTAAAATCTTAGATCTGCTCATCTGAGTCTCTGACTTCCTGCCATTTTACCCAAAAGCTGCAGAGCAAAACATGGATATCACATGTGACTAGTATTATACATTTTAACATAACAGTACATAAAAATTATACAGTTTAATTTCATATCTAAATATGAGCAGTTGTCTTCAAATATATGAGTCATTAAATTTTAAAGCAGACAAACTCATGGAGCGGACTCCTTGTTAATCATTTGCTTGCACTCGTGTTCACAGATTCAGCACTAAGCTAAATGACGTCATCAGATCACAGTACACAGACCAGGTTAGTCACTTATTTCTGACCTTTAGTCACATCTTGTGATTTCCTTACATGAGGGGTGTTGACCTGATACTTTAACAGTAACTGTCTCCGTTGCAGTGGTTCACTCTGCAGGATGTCAAATCTGGACGCGTTCACCTGATTCTGGAGTGGGTTCCCACAGTTTCAAACATACAGAAACTTGACCAGGTCGGCTCCTCCACTTGTTTACAGCCTCCTTATTCACCGCTTAGAAGTGCAAGTCTGGCATATGTTGATAAATGTGTTTATGTTGTAGGTGCTGCAGCTTCCGTCCCTGCAGTCCTATAAGAACAAAGCTGTCCCCTCTGCAGCTCTGCTCTTTGTCTACATAGAGGCAGCACATTCACTACCTGTGAGCCTCCTGCACTTTATTTACACTCGTTAAAAATGGCAACAATTATTCTACTGAAATTCTTCTTTTTACGTAAACAGTTGAAAAAGAGTGGAAAAGAACCCAAAGCTGGAGCTGAACTTGTTCTGGGTGAAACAACGTACAAAACCAAAGTAAGACTTTTCATACTTTTATTTTTTGGAATGATAAATGATGGATTTATAAAAAATTATACATCTTTTCAGCTGTGTGACCGCAGTACCAACCCTCAGTGGAATGAGTCTTTCTACTTCATAGTCCATGACCCTAAACAACAGGTCCTTGTGGTGAAGGCAAGATGTTTATTTACATCCTTCATGCTTGTTGTGGCTTAATGGATGGGTTAGGAGCTTCAGGTTAATTTGCTTACATTTAGCTGATGCTACAGTATGTTGTAACATTAACCATCCTCTCCATTACACCACAGCTGTCCAGTGGTTGGGACCAGCCAATGGGATCTCTCGTGGTTACTGTTAAGGAGCTGCTTGCACAGCCACAGCTGGTCCTGGATCAGTGGTTCCATCTGGATGGAGCTTCAGCTGACAGTCAGATCTTACTGAGAGCTGAACTCAAGGTGATGACACATAAAACACAAGACGTCATGGATGTGTTGGAACCGAGTATTTTTAGCGGCAGAACATTGATGGTGTCAGTTTGGTTTCAACAGATTCTGAGTTCTAAACTGGTGGATATGATCGGTGCGGGGACGCTGCCCTGTGCCGGTTCTGGGAATGGGCAGGTGAAGCTGTCTCTTTCATATGCTTCAAAGGAGAGAAAACTGATTGTTATCGTTCATGCCTGCAGGTGCGTATTCATTCTTCTGGGGCTACATACAAGGTTAAGCTTTGTTTGCTTTAGTTTCAAGACTTTAACAAGATTAACACTTAAAAACAATTATTTGTTTGCTCGACATTGTAGTAAAGGTGTATCTCAGTTTAACTTTTCCTTAATAAATGCACTTTAATGGTCAAATCAGCTGCATTTCGCCTGGGGGGTGCAGCGAAATCCAGCTGATTTGACGTTTGCTCCAGTATCAAGGTGGCTTGATATGGCAAGCCAAGTGTCTCATTAACAGCCACGTTTATTTACTTATTAATGAGACACTTGGCTTGCCATAATTCTCAAGGTCCCTCTAGCAGCTGAAAATAGTAGTGTTTAATATTTCCATGTCAGAATGAATGAAATCGTCAGATCTCAGCCAAAAATTGGCTTATAAATATGGGACAAAAACCGTATTCGTTGCTTCGGTGTATAAGTCGCAGGACTTGCAAATTTTTGCCAAAAGGTGCGACTTATATGGTGAAAAATACGGTTAATAAATCTTCCTATTAATAAGGATTTAACCCAAAAAAACTCAGTCACCCAAAGCACAAACAGACTATTTTGTAAATTTTAAATAATTTAAATAATTGCTGTCCACTGTTGTCATTACTCTTTGTTAAAAACAGGTCTCTCTTGTAAATGAGTCCTCGAGGCTCAATGAGACTAACCTGGATAAATAAAGGTTGAATGAATAAAAACAAGAATCTTGACTTATCCAGACTGACAACATGAGCAACACATAATACTGTAGGTGGATTATTCTGATGTATTCTGTCACTTCTGCCATGTCCTCGGAGCTAGATTGAAGATTATAGTGTGCATGTGAGAACTGTCCTCTCTCTGCACACAGAGGTCTGCTGTCACAAAGTAAGGATGGCATCGACAGCTACGTCTCTCTCATGCTGCTGCCAGACAAAAGTAAGGCCACCAAGAAAAAGACGGCCATGAAGAAAAAAGATGTCAACCCAGAGTTCAAAGAAAGGTAATGGCAGCGTCACCATGTTTCTGTGCAGGGGTTATTATTCTGGATTATTCCTCATGATTCTTGTCTTTATTAAGGTTTGAGTTTGATCTGCCCGAGGAAGAGACAAGATTCAGGCGCCTTAGCGTGTCGGTGAAAAATAACTCTGCCTCGTTCAGAAGCCGAGATGTTGTCGGGCAGGTCGGTCTGAAGTCTTCTCTTGCACTTTTGATACAGCTCTAAATAATCTGCTGCCGAATCACTGCTGACACAGCTGTTTTGTGTTCCTTTAGGTGCAGATTGAGTTGGCTCAGATCGACCTGATGTCAGGAGTCACAGACTGGTGAGCAGAACAGATCGAGCACACATCAAATTTAAACGAGCTTCTGTTTGTATCCGACTCATGTTTAAACATTTGTTTTTCATTAAATCCATTCTTCTTTCTATTTCTCCAGGTTCACTCTGAACGACGAAGCTGAATAGTCGCTCTGCTTGCTAAACTTCTGCAGTGATGAGAATTTAATCGCCCGACCCGACTCTCTGCTGTTGCACACAGATGCCTTCTGCCCACGTTTGCACCTCTGTCAATTTTACCTGCATCCACCCAGCTCACCGTGTATTATTGTGAAGTATAAAATGTACTGCTGAGTACACACCTAATTACCAAAGATAGTAAAATGAAGGAGCTGAGTTGAGACGAGAACACGCTGTATGAGGAAGTAAGTTTTAACGGGAACATTTCTGAGAGAAAATGTATTTAAGATGGAGCTGAGGAAGGTCAAAAATAAGCAGCTATAAAAGTTTTAAGAATATTTGAAGTCTGAATTTCTTTTTTGAGGTGCACAATATTTTTTAATAGAAGCTCTGTATGTTTTGTTGATTGACATTGGACACATTTTCAGTATTTAAACCATACTTTGTTACAGCCTTACAGTGAAATATATAAATATTTCACAGCACTTTGCCATGCCATGCTTTTGTCAACACATTAAGAAATCATTATTTTTATGTTTGTTTTTTACTGTTAAGGAACATTTGCTTAAACTTCACATTCAATTAAGGTTTGTTTGATTTTGTGTATATTGGCAAAGATCAGAGTGGATACTGTTTGCTGAAAAATGTTGACAAAATAAACTAAATTTACAGCTTTTATCTATTTTATCCATTCACTCACATACACACTCATTTAGCACTCTATACAGTATAAACCTTGTTATAGTCACAGACCTTTGAGTGCATTGAGATTAGTCTCAGATTTAACATTTTGTTGGGACAAATTTATTCTTATTTCTCTCAAATTGGTGGATCCAAAACACATAGTCTTGCTAGACTACGCTCATCAAGATATACTTTTAAATTACCTTTAATAGTTACAAATAAAGACACTTTTAACACCATGCATACATGTATACATGCATGATATGATTAAAAACAGTAAGTTCTCAGCTTTGACAACAAGGATGCCACAGCTGCTTCCCTCCTGTTGAACAGGGTAACTGTCACCCAGTCTGTTTTCCCATGGTGTCTCCTCATCTTCAAATATTCCATGTATAATGCATAAACAGTTTTAAATAAGACCAATTTTTAATAATAATACAAAAGACAACTTAGGCCCCTGTTATTTGCATTAATGCACTTCACAAAACACTAAAGGAAACGACTCATAACATAAATTACTGTTCTTAAGATGGCCTGCATTAAAAGATAAATAATAAAATAGAAAATAATGATGTAAATTTTCACGAGTAAAATAAAACCAATCCAGCAGCTTCCAATTCAGTTCAGTTTATTTATATACAGTAGCTCCAAGTCACAACAGAAGTTGTCTCAGGGCACTGTACAAAAACATTCACATACATAAAACAGCAAATTAGTGAAGTTATCTAAGGAACTTGCAGATTATATTGAATCTTCACTTTGTCACAGTCTACCATCCTGAGCAAGCACAGTGGCAACAGTGGAAAGGAAAAACTCCCTTTTAACAGGAAGAAACCTCCAGCAGAACCAGGCTCAGGATGAGCAGCCATCTGCTTCCAGTGGGTGTTTACCAACATAAATGACGGAAAGCTTCATAATCCTCAAAGCTGACATAAAATGGCACAAGATAAAGGGGTTAAAGGAAACATTCAGAATTCTGATGGCAGATTTATAGATGATCTTTGAACAACTGTTGTCATGCACGTCCTAAGCGCAACAAAGCGTGTCTCGTGTGTCCAGTCTAGTAGAATAATTTAACAGTAGTGTGTTAGTAGGTCACAAGACATGGACCCTATTATTTTTCGTTTTTCATGGGTTGAGTAATTGATACACGGTCCCTAAGCGAACGGGTCAAACTGAGGGCAGGTGCCCGAAATCAGACTGCCTGCGTCGGTTTAAACGACAGGAAGTCACCGCTGAATCCGCGGAGCTCCAATATCCAACCTAACACGAACTTAACTGCGGTGAATATTTTTCACATTCACAATAAACAAGTAGGTTTTTTATAGATGAATGAAAGGAAAAGCAGCCTGTTTGACTAAATTTTACGTAATTGCTTTACGTAATTACGTAGTTTTACGTAATTGACGCTCCGAGCTGCTTTCGCTTTCATTTATCAGGAAGGAGACGTCCACACAGACACGGTGAGTTACAGGAGCCACAATTAACCTTAAAATTATACTAAAAAGAGCCGTATTATGTTCAACTTATCCCAGTACTAATAAAATAATGCTGTTTTTAAGGTTTCATCGAACTATTGGAGCAAAAGCTTTCCGCTTTGTTTGCTTTGAGCAGCATCGAAAAGCGAAAGTGAGCAACTTTAAACGAACTGCGCAGTTTTAAATTCATAATGTTTTATGATAATATGCGTCGTCTGACCAGAGTTCTCATCGTTGTCGTGTAAATGTTAAACGTTGTGTTTTAAGGAAGGAGACTGTCGAAATGTCAGCGAATAACCAGAACCCAGCCGAACCCATGGACGTCGATGATCAGGTAAGAAACAAACTTTGTTGTTTAAAAACAATTCATTTAGGAGCTTTGGTATAAATATGGTTACAGTAATAAATAAATAAATAAATACATGCAAAAATAAACATGGTTATACCAGTCATTTATTTTCAATATGAATGCATAATTACTTTAAAATAAAATCTTGAATAAATGTGTGCAGAATAAAAACTGAAGCCATATCTTCACATCCAGCATGTTGGAACAGAAGAGCTGAGGTCAGACAGGTTATCAGATGGTTTGGGTTAATGTGTTGAAGACAGAACTGAGCCGAAGTCCATCAGTGTCATTACCAATGAAATAAAACTCCATCCCTCTATTATCTGATTCTTGGAGTCCGGTCCCGGAGCTGCAGCTTTCTTTCCCCAGCCTCCTCTTCCAGCTCTTCAGAACCCTCAGGGCCTTCAACGCCTCCAGAGAAGTCCTGAGAGTTCAGCACATATGAAATGTTGTGTTTAAACTTTAAAGTCCGTATTTATTTTTAAGTAAAGTGAGTATTTTCAATGTAGCTTTTCTTATTTTAGGTGTCCTTTTTAACTGGGGAAAGTTTTCCGTGCATTCAATTGCAACGTGTAAAGTCAAAAGTCGACACTGAAGTTGTGGTTGGAATAGTTCAAGAAACCGAGACAACTATAGGATTTATTAAAAAGTTAAGTCGTAAAACTGGACAATGTGTCAGCCTCACGGACAGAAACTGGAAGTTGGTTCCACAAGAGAGGAGCCTGAGAACTGAAAGAGCCCATTCTGCTTTTGGAAACTCTAGGAACTGCAAGTAAACCGGCAGTCTGAGAGCAAAGTGCTCTGTTAGCAAAATATGGGACAATAAGATCTGTAATATGAGCTAGGTTGTTGAGGGCTTTGTATGTTAGAAGTAATTAAATAAATAATGTATTAAGTAAATTAATGAGGTAAGGTAGGGAGGAACTCATGGTTTCTATGATTTTTTTTTAAAATGATGACACAAAGCTCTACTTGTGTTCTTCAACTGATCATAAATGTGTTGCCTTTTTCAACCACAAGCTCGTTTTGATCAAAAAAATATATTAAACTAAGTTTTCATTGATCCAGAATCTGTGCCTTTTCAAAACAAACTTTTCATAAACGTTCTGCACAAAGTCATTTTAGAAGTGTTGTCTCAGACAAACGGGATGAAAGTTTTTGCTTGGCCTCTTTGTTTTTAATGAAACAGCGTCACTGTCACTGCAGAGGAGACGTCCCTGCCTTAGCAGAGAAAAATCAAATAAAATCCTCACATTTTATTTGCATATGCTATTATTTAAACATGGACATTGCTGTCAGTTTTGCATTACCGGTAGTTACTTTGGCAGAAAAGTTATATTCTTGTTGGAATTAACCCCAAGTTGCACCAGAAGAACCACAGCCAGCTGCTGCTGTCAGTGTTTGTTTTTGTATTTCAGACTACAAGTTAGCTCGTAGACTTTAATTCTTCAACTTGAGGTCGTTTAAAGAGTTTTCTACAAGCAGCATATTATTTGTGTAGAACATTTTCTCAGAACTCCACTTCCGAATGACTGAAATATCCTTTTTAATGAGTCATAGGATTTCAAGCTTTAAAATATCTCATATGTAGGTAACCAAATATATTAGTTTTGTAAAGCAGTCATCGCTTTCACGTCTATAAATTCAAAACTTGTGATTAAACATTATTTCAAGTAACAAATGTTTCGAGAACATTTTATAGCTCATAACTCCCGCTCTTGTGACATGGCACGAATAATAATATAACTTGTTTCATGTTTCCAGGATGACACGGCTCCATCACGAGCTGAACCTGACGTTAAGCTCAGGCTCTCACTGAAGTGGTCAGAGTCTGATGAGCAGAAAATGAAGACGCAGCTGCAGAAAGCTCTGCAGACTTGGTTCAACACAACAAAACTTAAAGGTGGAGTTAAGGTGAACTGTACGGTTAAAGAAATCTTACAAGACAAGAGTGCTGTGATAAAGATAAATCCTGCTCCAGGTGCGATGATTGTTCAATTGATTCTTTGGTTTCATGTTCAGGTGATCCTATAATTTATATTTGTCCCAACTTGTTGAAATGCCTTTCTGTCCTAATAATAACTTTACAATTTTTTGATAACAAAATATTATTTGATCTTTTTAAGACCTGAATGATCTTCAGAATCTTCAGACACTAAATAAAACATTGACGACAAAGGACGGGAAAAATGTAGCCACCGTACTGTCAATCACCCTGGGACAAACCAAGCTGGATAAACCACCACCAGATGATGTTTCAATGAATTCTTCTGTGTCAGACAAGCCAGCTGTATGTAATTACATAAATGAACCTGATTCTCAACAATAATGTATGTGTCTCAGTCAGGTTGTGTTGTGTTTTACCAGGATAAAGGGCAGTTTGGAGGCCAGAGTGACGGTGTTTCCGCTGCAGGACTCGCTCCTGCTGATGGTAAAAGACCGTCTGAGGAGTGTCCTGTCGCAGTGAGTCACTTCTGGTACATGAACCACGTCTACAAGGAAGAAATCGAACGTATAGCGCAACGAAATGGAGTTAAAATGAAAAGTGAAGTCATTGTGAAATTTGAAGCTGAACAGGACGACGGAGCACCAGCTGCTGCTTTATCTGACTTCACAGATCTTGTCCAAAAGTGTTTACCTGATTGCAACGGTTCAGTCGTGCCTCTGAAAATTTTAGCTCCACATAATTGGAGGGATGCTCTCAGAATCATCAGTAAACATGAGAACAAGCTTTTAATCACAACGACCTCTGAAGAAATGAGCGTTTTTGGGCCATCAACGAGCCAAGGTGTTTTCAGAAAGACTATAAACGCCATGCAGAAAACTGAATCTGAAGAGGGTGATTTCAGATCCCAGTCTCCACACCTGAAGATAAAAATGACCATCATCGACCCTCTTACTGATGCAGGACTAACCATGGGGCAGGACCAGTGGAAGAAGATAAGTTCCTGTCATCAGCAGGTTGCCACCATCAAATCTAAGTTTAATGTGGACTTTAAAGAATCCAGCAACGGTCAGGGTGAGGTAAATGTCAAAGCTGTTTACAACCGAGCTGGAGGAAACGCTGCCATGGAGAGTCATGCTGTCAGAGCTCTTCTACGTCTGTACCAGAAGGTTCTTACCTCGCCCCTGCCCCTCACACTGCCCTCTGGTGCCGCTGGGTTTAACTCTCCATCAGAAGAAGCCTTCAACGAACCGGAGCTGAATGGGAATCCATCACAGCAAAACGATGACGCGCCTTCAGGAGTGGGTGCAACAGGAGGAGGCGATAACGACGAAAAATGTTCGATATGTTTGGATTTATTTACCAACAAGAAACGGCTGAAATGCAAACATGAATTTTGTGAGGATTGCCTGCGAGAAACAAAGAAGCACAATGGTCCCATTTGTCCGATATGCAAAGACGTGTTCGGTATGATGGAGGGAGACCAACCGGATGGGAAGATGACCTGGTACCAAAGTCCAGGTTCTCTCCCTGGATTTCCAGGATGTGGTCATATAATCATCACTTACGATATTCCAAGTGGGAAGCAGACGGTAAATGTTTGAACACACATCATGATGTTGCTTTTTTAAATTATTTTTAACACAACTGGTGTTTATCTCTGTCCTCCATTGGCAGAAAAAACATCCCAAACCCGGTGGCCACTACTCGGGCATATTCAGAACGGCCTATCTTCCAGACAACAAAGAAGGGAATGAAGTGCTGAAACTGCTGAAAACAGCCTTTGACCAGAAGTTGATTTTCACTGTTGGGACGTCCAGAACGACTGGGCAGGACGATCAGGTGACCTGGAATGACATTCACCACAAGACATCTATGTCAGGAGGACCAAGCTGGTACAGTACCCCAGTTTATGATTATAATTTCTTTCAGTTGGAGTAAATCCTTCAAGTATGAACTTCTTCACACGTTGTGTTTTTACAGTTTTGGGTATCCTGACCCAGACTATCTCAGCAGAGTCAAGGAGGAGCTGAAGGCTAAAGGCATTAAATAAAAACTTCTCAAAATTTGACAATTTACTGGAATTCACATGATTTGCATTTAGTTTGTTAAAACAATAGTTCTGATGTTTTCAAGTGGGGGGGTCTTTGAAAAGGTTATGAACAAAAAATATCTTACCTGTTGCAGATAACAAACGGGGGGGAAAAGAGTGGAATTCTGACGGGATTGATAAGCTAGTACAGGGGTGGGCAATTATTTTTTCCATGGGGCCACATGAAAAACAACATTGTGGAGGGCTGGCACAAATGACTTTTTCATTCAACCTTTATTTAGACGGTAAATCCCATTGAGCCTCGAGGACTCATTTACAAGAGAGACCTGATTTCAACTTAACTCAATACTGCATAATATTAATAGTATTTCATTATTAAAAGCAGTACATAGCACTGTTTTAACAAGCTAGTAAGAGTATTTGTTATGATTAAGCAATGAAAAAATGAGGTTTCCTTACAAAAATGTCATTTATTCAATTAAATTTCCCAGTACAATGGTAAACTGTTAACATTTTTACCATTTGTGACGTTATATTAATGATCATTTTCAGTCACATTCACCCCAAAACTCATTTTGAGTTTTATATACTGCTGGAAAAAGTTCTTAGCTTTGTAAATATATCACAATATTGTCTTTGTACTCCAAATATTATGAAACATCATATAATAGTGATCGTCACTGAACAGTGATTTCGAGTCCCGGTTGTTTACGTGCCTACATTTGTAGTCTAAACATCTCATTTGGTGTTTATCAGTTCTTTTTTCTTGTTTAGTGAGAGAAGTCTAGTCTCTGTTGGGCTTTAACGGAAATGTTAAAGTCAGGTTGAAGGTCTGAGGTGGAGATGTGAAGCAAAGCTGACATCATCAGTGAGAGAGGATCTATATCTGGATTTGGTTAACTTCATTTGTTTACATATGTATTTTGTTATTCCCCTTACGGGGGGTGGTCAGAGTCAACCAAAGGGCCGCATGTGGCCCTGGGGCCGTACAACGCCCAGGTCTGAGCTAGTAGCTACTCAGTGCAAGTTCATAAGTCTAAAAATCTTAATAGTTGTTAATGTGAACGCTACAAACCTGTCCACACTTTACATCACATTATTTATGTGAAACTTTGATCATTTGCAAGCATTAGGTAGTGTCAGCAGAAACTAACTGTAGCACCTCCTGTGCAGACTGGTGCACTTCCTGAAGGAAAACTTATTTCTTCCAGAATAACTGTACCGTGATCTTGACAGAGATGTAACAATGTATAAGATAGCATTTACATGAAATGGTTATAAGTTATTTTAAGATGGCAGTGATCCATTTTGGTCTTGGGCCCACACAGACTAGCCATTAGCTCATCAGTCAATTAAAATATTTCTCCAAACATCAAAGTTCATGCTTAATAATCCAGGTAAAAAATTCCAACAAAGTTGTCAGGTCATCTGGACGGTTTCTTTGGTTTGTTGAGATGTTTCATCCTTCATCCAAAGGACTTCATCAGTCCGAGGAGCCACAAACTCAGTCTCACAAGCAGAAATTAAATGTCTCTTTAAGGAATCTGCTTGTGGGATTGAGTTGCTGTGGCTTCTCGGACTGATTAAGTCCTTTGGATGAAGGACGAAACGTCTCAACAAAAAACAAAACCGCCCAGATGACCTGACTGAACTTTGTTAATTTCTCCAGTTTGTTCAAAGTTCTATCTGTAACAGGTAAGATGTTTATATTTCTACAGAAACGCTAAACTATCGTAAGTATTGATTTAAGTGGAGGGTAATATAATGATCAAGGGTTACTTTGAGGTGTGTTGGGAAACATGACGGGTCAAAATAATTTATGCCAATGAAAATACATTATGTAATCATATTTGACATAATTACTTTGAAGGAGTTTTTAAGTATATTAAAAATGAAGGTATTTTATATATAAATGTAACCCTGTGTCACTTGGTCTGATTGTATTCTTTATTTCCATAATAAATGCTTAAAGTCTCCAACACCGACTTGCCTCGTTCTCTCCACAAAACACAAAAACACAGCAGCTGGTTGTCTGTACAATTACATTTTTTTATTTTTTTATGACAATATCGGTTGTTGTGTTTGTAAAGTACTCCAGCAAAAAATGAAACATTATTCTCTTTCCAGAAGAAAGTCTGAGTCTCCATGCATCGTGTTCTATAAAAGCTATGTGTCATTTTTCATCAAAAAAAAAATAAAAACAGAATCCAAAGGAAAGTCTGGAAATGCACGTATGATTCTCCAAAAAGTGTCCTTTATGTAAAATGATTGTACTTCTCGTTCGATTTTAAGACAAAATGTACACAACAGCGCAAGATAACACCCGACGGGAAAGCAAAGGAAAAACTTGTTACGCCGAAGACTTGTTACCGTACGCATGCAGTAAAGATAATATGGCTGACGCGTTTTCTGACAGAAGCAGCATTTTGGGGACAGAGGCTGAGCGTAAGGACGGGTCGGAGCGGCCAGAACGGTGGCGTTAGCAGCAGCGGCACGGCGGAGTTCGGATCTCATGGAGCTAAAGACGAGGAACACAATGCACTTGAGACTGAGGCAGAACAAGACTGTGAAGGTACAGACTTTGATTCTCTAAAGGCAGAAAGATGCATTTATTCACAAAGCAACAAACGTTATCTGGTCTTCAAAAGAAAAAAACAATGGACGAAAGAAGAAAAAGACACAATAGATCCAGCTAAATCATCTTAATCCCCACGTTTTAACCAAACGGCAGCCTTTCTTTGCTTCTTGAGGAAGACCTTGGTAACTAATCTTTCAGACATGACACTTCATCCCTGCCATCTGTAATCTCTCTTTAAGGAATGTTGAATCCTTTCTCCAACGACACAAATCACAGACCAACACGCAAGCTTCAATTTTAAGACAAAAACAATCATATCTTTACATCTTACGGTAAAAACCCCCACAGAACACATAATACTGTCAAATGTGAGTTTCTGTGCAAGGAAGACAACACAATCATTTCATGAACTTTGTTCTCTGAGGAATATATCGTGGAAAATACTGTAGTTTCCATCTGGTGTCGACATTTTTTGTTTTTTTTACATGTGCTATACACAAACGGTGCTCTCGCAGATCGTTCTCGCACAGTCCGGCTGAGAAACCCGGCAAACCAACACACAAACGTACCAATTTCTTTTCTTTTTTAAGAACAATTTGAGTCTGCCTTTCCTGCTCAAAGTCAACACAAACGACAAACGGTTGGCACTGGTGAAATGGAACGAGTGTTCGTTTTTCCTCATCTGTACAATTCATACAAAAATAAAAAATTAAAATCGCTCCAATGATAGCATCTTTTCGGTTTGATTTTCTCGTTTCTGTTTTGTTGTTGTTGTTTTTACAGAGGTAGTGGCTATTTAGGTAAAGGGTACAGGAGAACGTGTAAATTAAAAATCTCTTAGAAAATGTCTGTTTTTGACCAGAGGAACCTCTAAAGAACAAAATATAATACTGCAATCACATACAAAAGTAGTCCTTCATTTTTGTACATTTGTTTTTACAGTGTTCACACTTTAGCAATTTATCTCACACTTTTCTTTTAAATCGATTCTTGTTTAGTTTTTCTTCAGAAAGGCAAGAAGTGGGGAGTGTTTTGGAATACTACGATCCGGCTGATGGACAGTCTATGCCAGAGGGTCTACGAGGGGCTCTTCGTCTCCACGTGATAGCAACTCCTTCTTCTCGTCTGTGCTCGCCAGAGAGTTGCGGCTGTTGTGGGCTCCCATGTACAGAGTGGCGTATACGGGGTTTGTGAAGTTGGTGGGCTGAAAAACATTCAGAATAACCCATCAAGAAACGTGTGAATCCTTGTCGGTTTCAGCTCAGTGGCGTTGTCTACCTTCTCTGGGTCCAAAGTGAAGTCTGCGTCCAGCAGCTCTCCAGCATCGTCATCAGGCTCGCCCTCGTAGATCTTATACGCCGGGTTTCCAATCTCTACATTCATGGCCCCGTTGGTCATCCTTTGGTGCTGGAAGCCCTTGGCTCTGCAGAAACGATAAAGACAAATACAGTCGTACCTTCTTTTCCATTTCTGTATTCCAGGAGCCTACGCAGGCGAGCAGCTACTTTGCAAATAAAAGGAAGACACTGCATGATTTTCAGCACCCTCCATGCTGAGCCGCAACACAGGCACCAACACAAAACCAGCATCAATGTAGTCCGGGCGGCTCAGAACCTACCGGGCCTGGATGTACAGTACTGTGTCTGGAGTCATCCCTTTTTTCTTTATGCTTTGCGCTTCCAAGGAGACACTTGTCATATTTAACATACTGTACTCTTGATCAACTGTTTTCAGGATTTCTGTTGCACAATACCCGACCATTTTCATGAGATTTTTATTTGCTTGTTAAACCTTTTACCTTTAACCTGACCCCATTTAGGCAAAATAATAATAAGAAAAAAACTAAAATCAAAAGATAAACCTGTCAACACATGACTGAGAACAAAGCAAATAACCTATTTTAAAACTTTTGTTTCTAACCAGCAGTTTGTCACAAAGACAATTAGCTCCCACTGTTTTAATCAATCTATGAAAAAAAAGTCAAATATTACAGTATAAGAGACAGAGATAAGTGTTTTAGCACCAACCAGGTGATTTCCAGAGCTATGATCTGAAGACCTGTCATACAGTTTACACACAAAAAAGAAATGTCACTATTCTGGGCTATAAAACATAGTATTATGTTTTAATTACTCAAAAACCACAAGTTATTTGCATCAACTTAAATTAGTTGTATTGTTTGAAAGTAAAAAAATATGCTATGTCAGGTTTACTTGGCTGTCTTAAGTTTCCTCAACTAAACTCTAAAGTAAAAATGATGTAAAACGGAAAGCACTTAATTAATAGAGTACAGTAGTTTGTCCCTTGCAGGACACCACCCTATATATATATCCTCTTAATCTCGTTCTTCTCGTTGCACTTGGAGATACACGCCTCAGAACAATCTGCAGCCATCCTTTAAATAAAAGTAAGTAAACATCTTTTCATTGCCACTTCATATAGCAACTAGTGTTGTGTTTTCTTTATACATTAAATTATGGCGGAGGCTGAGGTAAATTATGAGAGGAAAAATGATAATTCGTTTACTCTGTTTTGCTAACTCTATTCCCGGTTGTTTGTATTTGTTTTTAACGTTGAAAAGTCAACCAGGTGAGGCGAAGGATTATCAAATACACATTACGATGTATGCATTTGTGTAGTTTAGTAAAGTTGTTATGATTCTGATAGTCGTATGTATGAACACCTTAAGGATGGTGCATCAGGCCCCGTTTCAGTTCTTTTGCTGGATTTCTTATGTTTTAAACGCATAAATTGAAGATGCTGTTGGTCTACTGTGGATAGTTTTTGGTTCCGAGTGTGATGCTGCCTCTTTTGTCTTCCACTTGTGCTTTCCTCATTATTTGAGCCCACACTGCACATTATGCTATCATGGACAGTGATTAGAACTGAACAAAGCATGAATGGAAAAGCACCAATTGGTCTCAAAAATAATTGAAAGACCTTCAGGAATCGTGAAAACTGTTAATCCAGACCACTTTAGAAGAATAATGTGGCTCCTTGAAAGCAAAATATAAAGAAATCGGAGGAGAGGGGGGTTAAAACTTGAGAACAGCACTGTAAGATTGTTAATGTTTAGATTTTTTTAAAGGTTTTAAAAGGTCCTCTGAATAAAGAAAACGATGCACTCCACAGATGAGCAAATACGAGCTGATTTGTCACATTTTTCAGAATAGCCTTCAAAAAATAATCCCGACTTCCACGAGACACAACAAAGCACAGTACAATATGATGGTCAAAAAGGTATGATTTAAAGTACAGTATAACACCTACACAGATCTATTTATTGTATCATGTTAATAGATCTGCCCCGAAGACAAAACTGACTGTAGGAGCGGGATGGTCCCACAGCTCCATCAGGGAAAATGGCAAAACACTCAACAGGACTAAACACGGCACGACAGCAACCAAGACTTATGGTTAGGGAGAAGAAGAGCGCAAAACAACTCAAACCAACAAAAAGGAAAAACAAAAATGGCGAAACGGTATGAGGAAAGAAAGACGTGTAACCCTGGCGACCATTACCGCAAGCGTTTGGAGCCGGTTTTTCCGGGCCGGCTAGACCTGAGGAGCAAAAGAGACGCCATTACAGAGAGGAGAGTAAAAGTGAAAACAGAAAGTGGGAGGAAGAAAGAGAAGCCAGATAATTCCTGAGTGCTACTCACCCTCTCATTCTCCTCCTGTACCACAGCACAGCTCCTACTGCCAGGAGGACCAGTATCAGCAGGATCAACACTGTGGCCACAATGGAGGCCGTGCCTGCAAACACAAACGATCAGGCTCAGTCGGTCTCATCGCAGGAAATCCAGCTTCTCTGCTGTTAAAACTTACGTCCACTTGAACCTTGGCCGTCCTTGCTGATGGCCACGGACTCGCAGCGATACCCTGTCCAGCCTGAGGTACATCTACACAAACAAGACAAATAATCATGTCATCAACAAAGAGCCTAAAACTGATGACAGCAAGTAGATGCACATAACTCTCCTCCTCACCTGCACTCTGGAAGACGAGTAGTAGGATTTAAAGAGCACTGGCCATTTGCACAGTACTCATTCGTATCACACGTGTAACAGCTGGGCTGGACTCTGCCGTTTGTGCAGCTACAGGCGATAGAAAATAAAACCAGAGAGGCAATGAAAAGGACAAGAAACGTCCTTTTGTGCAAGAAGGTCACATGTGCCGATAGATTTTGTCCACAGTGCGTGTCTTAGTGCTCTCACCGGCATTTGAACTCCCCTGTAGATGAAAAACCATTACTGGGGAGACATTCGCCGTCCCGACAGTAATGACATTTGTCAATCTCGCACGTGGCGCCCATGTACTGAGGCAGACAGCGGCACAGTTTAGAGCCGTTTTCGCTCTGCAGGCAGGTGCCGCCGTTCAGACAGTGGCCTTCGCAGCTTCCTGCTCACACACACAATAAACATCTCAGTGCACTGCTTATAAACTGTTACAACTAAAAGCACATTAACATTTTTTAAATGCCAAACCAAAGAGCACTCACTGTACTGGCACTTGTCGCCGAGGATGTCTGTGGGGCAGCGACATGTCGGCTGGTTTCCTGCGCTGACCGTACAGTTGCCTCCGTTCCTGCAGTAATCCTTACAGGTGTGCAGGTTACAGTTGGGCCCTGTGAAGCCTGTGAGGCACCGGCAGGTAGGAGAACCTGCAGGAAGACAAATGCATGAAGAACAACTTTAAACGAACAAACATTTACTGAAAATTACCACTAAATATTTACATTGATTATATACCCGATAGGAATAAAAAAAACAAAAAACTTGATTTGAGCAGGGTAAAAATTTACATTGCAAGTCTAAAAAAGTGAGAATAAAACACAACTAGAAACTAGTTTCACCCTCATTTCATATTTATGATCCCTTCTTTGGTAAATAAACTGGAAATAAATAAAAGTTTGAGCAAGACTTCCTAAACATTTTCCATAATGAAATTCCAGAAGTTTCCAGGCTCAAACTGTTGTTTTTATTTTTTATTGCTCTTAAATAATGAGACATTTTTGTTATCAAAACATATAAATTTAATGTAATTTAACGTGCCAACAATTTTCAGTCAGGTCATCTGGACAGTATTTTTTTTTTGTGCTGAAACGTTTCACCTTCCATCCAGAAGGCTTCATCAGTCAAGGAAACACACAACACAAAACTGATTCTTCCCCCAACAGCTTACTCCAAATCAGTTTTGTGTTGTGTGTTTCCTTGACTGACGAAGCCTTCTGGATGGAAGGTGAAACGTTTCAGCACAAAAAAAAAAACTGTCCAGATGACTGAAAATTGTTGGATTGTATACCTGGATTATTGAGCATGGACTTTGTTAGTAATTTAACCTGTTTTATCAACAATGTGGTTTTATTATCTGTGCTCATGTACAGTTACTGAATGTGAAAGTATTTTTTAATAGACAACACAATACTACTAAAAAAACTAATATTAATAGGAAACTAATATTTAGTCATATTTCCATATTTTTAAGAGCTGGACAGCGACACAATAAATGAGCGCATTTACAGAGAGATATCAGAGATGATGGCACAGCATGGTTACCCACGGACTTTTAAGCAGTTCCAGGATCAGCTAAAGAAATTTAAGTCCATTTATAGAGCGATTAAGGACCACAATGGGTAGAGTGGCTTGAACACAATAACCAGTTACGATCCCGCCCACAGAGCGAGGAAACAAGTCAGAGTAGCAAACCAACACCTGAGAAAAACTGTTAAGACGAGAGCCGAGTGGAGTTGCACTTATCGATGGCAATGCGGCTGTACTGATCGGGTATTTCTCAGTCGTCCCTGAGCCGTGCCATGCCAGCTGTATGGGATGACCTCATCTATTTTATGCCCAGATACATTAAATTTCCTCACACCGCGGCTGAAAAGCTTTGTTGATGCGCATCAACTCCTTTCTTCCCATCAACTGTGTAAAGAATAAGTTTCTAAGTTCTACCAAGCTCCTGAGTGCCTCTGTGTGTACAGTAATTACATTAAACATGTGTAAAGTTGGAAATGCCTCAGACTCAGACGTGCTCCGCCGGCAGATCAGCGCCCCCCCCGGGTTCACTTCATTCAACAACAATCAACAACAACACACACACTCCTCTTCTCACATGCGTGCTAAACATGTTTTTACATCTCACTACTTATTTAGAAGTGACTCACATTTCATAAAATTCGTTATTTTGTTGCATCCTGACGTTATTTTCTAACAGACGGAGACGAGAATCCCACGTGCAAAACCTATCTGCATCTATTTTACATATTTAAATGAAGGCGTGTTTCATGTGCGCTCAGTTCCATGTTCGTTCAGATGTATGAAGGAAAGGCGCACAGGGACATGCCTGTGCACGGATTGATAAATCTGAATAGTTCAGTGCGCGTGCACTTTTCTCAGTTTGTCGCGAGGCCAACTTTCAGTAGGAAAGCTGCTCACTCTTGGATGCATGAGGCCCAGGTGTTTCAGACAATTTAAAGACACTTTATTTTATTTTTCTTCATTTCAAGACAGGAATTACATGGTCTTCATCATCTTCATGGACATTTTACCAACATTTGTATTTATCTTGTTAACTTCTTCCTTTAATTGAACATAAAATATACTAATTCTGTTTTAGGACTGAGCTAACCTTGTATGGTCTGTGCTTCATGTTGGGTTTCACATTCACATATTGCTGACATGGCTGAAGTACTTTGGAGTGTCTGTCTTTTAAATATAAGGAATTTGCTCTTTTTACCAAGTAATCTTTTGAAATTCTGATGTTTATTCTTTAGAAAAAGATATATATACTGTATATAGATATGGGAGTGTGAAAACTCAAGTGCTGTTCAAACTCCTGAATGTTTATTTTCAATACTTATTCAATCCTGGAAAATATGAAAAGTAAAGAAACAAATTCCATACTTTTTGAGCCTGAACAGGAACTCTAATGGAAGGAAAGAAGAGCAGGAAGATGAATAAAGAAAGTATGTGTCATAAGTTAGGATTTTAAAGTTACCTGTAGGAGAAGGTGTGCATATTCCTCCGTTCCTGCAGTAGTCCTTGCACTGATCAATCTCGCATCGATCGCCTCTGTAGTTCGGCTGGCAGCGACACTTGGGCTGCTTGCGCGCGTTCAGGAAACAGCTGCCACCGTTCAAACACTGGAGGGAGCAGGGCCCACTGGGAGGAGCTGCAGGTCAGAAAGTCACACGGGTTCACGTGGATGTCGGTGCGTTTGGTTTCACGAGTCGTTCTGTCCGATCGCTCACTCACAGACGGGAGACAGCGTGGGAGTCGGCAGCTCTACGCAGGTGCCGTTGTCCAGCGTCCGTCCGTTGGGACAGGTGCAGACGGGTCCACTGGGACTGAGCAGACATAACCACTCGCATTTCTTCCTGTCACAGGGGTTAGTCACTGGCAGAAAAACACAAAGAGAACATAACCAAACAGAACTTCTTAACTGTTTAGTGAGTTTGTGCTTCTGTTTTCTTCTTCCTTCACTTACTCTCCGGTTGTTTGTATCGGTGCTGCAGAACTAGATCTGTGGCATGGTTCATTCCAGTTGCCAGGTTCTCGACGGGGCCTTTACCAAACTTATTCACTCTGAAGACCTGATTGTTCCTGTAGGTGACGCCGTAGATGGTATCCTCAAAGACATCGATGCTGAACGGGTGATGGAGCTCTGAAAGACGAGAACACCCACAAATCAAAGCTGGGGAGTATTTAAAGGCCTGGCGTTCCTCGAAGGAATGCACATCACCCGTCACCTTTTATACCAGAGTTTTAGAGTAAAACCTTCCTATTCTGAGTACGGTGAAGCTATTTTAGTTGTAGATGCACATCCATTCACTGAAGTCTGTGCAGTGGTGCATGAGATGTTTAGCTAATAGAGTGTTGGCTCTAAAAATGTCAGTTTTAAACAAAGATGTGAAATCTGTTGGTGTTCAAAGTACTGTAAGTTTTGGGACTGACTCTCAGCTACTACCACACCAAACTGTAGCTCAAAATCAGTCAAATTAACTGATATATTTTTGTGTTTGCTAATGTCAATAACTGTGGTGGCCATCTTGAAACGTGCTGACCCCAAAAAAGTTACGCAGTTGTTGATGTAACCAGTAATTATTACTTGAGAGTTTCATTAAAATTTGTCTTGTGGGCTATGAGATATTTTGCTAACAGACACATAAATGAACAGACGCACACAGAGACACGGGCAAAAACTTAGTGCCACTTTTGCTTTCGGGCATCAGTTAAAATTGATCATTAGTTTGAACTACAACGTGATAATAAGCTACTCAACTGTTTTTCAAAGCGTTTACAGCAACGACTGCATCACTGCCGTCCAGCCTCACACTGCTGATCAGGGAAAGTTTCGCGTCAGCCCAGTACAGACGCTCGTTGTAGTAGTCCACTGTCAGACCTACACAAACAGACGCCTCTGTCAGGAACCGATTCAAACGTCTGTATGATCTTTTAACCAGGTGATAGGGTTTACCTGTTGGCCACTCAATGTTTTCTTCCACCAGCGTCTCTCTCATGGTTCCATCCATAGCAGCTGTTTCAATCTTGGGGTGGTCGCCCCAGTCCGCCCAGTACATTTTTCTAATGAATTAGAAGTAAATGGCTTTAACCACTTGAACCTTTTGTAAATTGTTTGATTTTGAACATCTTTTTGTTCCCCTTCTCACCCTCGGGGGGGGTCCACTACAATAGCGTAAGGCTCATCGATCATGCCAGAGATCAGGGTTTTACAGTGGCGTCCACCATTGATCTGGGCCACCTCAATGACGTCTCGGCCAGAGTCCGTCCAGTACAAGTTCCCTGCCACCCAGTCCACGGCAATGCCCCGGGGCATCTTCAGATCTGGAATCTGAACGGGAGGAAAAAAAACAAGAATGGACACGCATGAGTTTGAACAGGCAAATTAAAGCCCACGAGCAGAACACGCGAACGGCTACCTCCAGGTTGACCACACGGGAGTCCCCCTGGCGTCCATTACGGTTACTGTTCTGTGAAGAGGAGGAGGAAGCAGGCAAATCGTAGGAGGAGATGCGCCCCGTGTGCCAGTTTGTCCAGTAAAGGCGGTTTGACTTCACGTGCAGGTCCATGGCGTCAATGCGCACGTTGGCATCGCCATGAAAGACCTGCTCGTAGCGCCAACCGGGCATGGAGGGATCCAGGCTGCGGATCTCGTTGTCATCACCGATGTACAGCACATATCCCTGAGCTGGAGATGGACAGGAAGTGATGTCATATAGAGAAAAAAGAAGCCAAGCTATGTAGTGGAAGAAGCTGTACAAACGGATTTAGGGTCCACATTGTATTCAAAACATGAATAAAATTGGACTCAGACTCAAACTAGGATACATGTGCAAACATAAATGCACATGTTGACAAAAAGGTTACAAATAAAGCTTGAATGCTCACCGTCGGCCTTGCAGGTGTTATTTATTCTGCTGAAATACTTGTGGCAGCTGCACTTGTAGGAACCCTTCGTGTTGTTGCAGATGTGGGAACACGTCCCAAACTCCTTACACTCGTTCTTATCTGTGAAGGCCACGTGAAACCGTTTCAGGAGTTGTAGCACTTTGTGGCCAAAGCAAAAAGGTTCAACAGAAAAAACAAAACAAAGTAAGTTCGGAGAAAACTGTACCTTCACATTTGTTCCGCCCGTTGGACTGGAAGCCAGGTTTGCACGAGCAGAAGGAGACGGTGCCGTTGACCACACAGTGAGCTTCGTCTCCGTCCCCACACATCGTCACGTTACGGCTGCACTCGTTCGGCCCCGAGTCTGCAGCAGATAACGTGCAGTCACAACTGATAAACCGCGCACGATGGAAAGAAGGTCACAGTGAGAAAAGGTGTGCCTCAACGCACCTTTCTTGGTGCAACTGGTTTCATCCGAGCCGTAGTCCTCACAGTCGTTGAAGTGGTTGCAGAACAGGTCCGAGTTGATGCAGTGGCCATTGAAGCACTGGAACTGGTTCTTTTGACAAACTGGAATGAAAGGAAGTGTTGCTGGAAAACAAAAACAGGTCAATAAACAGCTTTTTCTTTTTTTTTTGTCATAAAAATCAGCTTCCAACAAGCAATAATTGAATGCAAACTGCCCGCTTCCTTAAATGCTGAGGTTCAAACTAAGATCATTGTATAACGAGAAATAACTGTTATAGCTGATTTGATCAAAAGTTGTAAATGACGTGATGTGCGACCTCATGCAATTTGGAAAAACCTCGCAAGATGTGTTAAGGATGAACTTTAGCTTTCTGAATTTTAGCTTAATATGTAAAGGAATGACTGAGTTAGAACCATTTTTGTGTTTTCGATGGACAGTTAGCTGTGGCGGCCATGTTGAACTGGCTTGAGCTCAAAAGAGTTGTAGATTCAGTTCCTTTAGAGTTTTATTAAAATCTGTCCAGTCATTCAGGAGATCGTTTGCCTACAGACGATAAAAGTTGACACATCTTGCAGGATCAGTTAGGGCTCAGGTTATGTGCTGGGGATGACACTCAACTACTACCACACCAAATTTTAGCTTAACATGTCTAAAATTTGCTACAATAAAACAATATTTGTTTGCTGAAGTATTTACTATGGTGGCCATCTTGGACGAGGTAGACTCCAAACGTTTATAGAGGTGCATCTAATAATTACTTTATGAACGTTTCTTTAAAATCCATCCTCTGGTTTATAAGATATTTTGCTGACACTACAGACAAACACACTTACATAGGCAAAACTGTTGCTTTTGTTTGCAGTGATTAAAAAAAAGTTTACTTTTAAAACTTATTAGTAAAAAGTACTACAGATTTAGCTTTTTGTTTCTGAAACTTACGGCAGTAGAGCTCATCACTTTGGTCCCCGCAGTCGTCCACACCATCGCAGCGTTTTGACAGCGGTAGACACACCCTGTCGTTGTGACACCGGAACTGCCTGGTGGGGGGGCACTGGAATTTACCTAAAGAACCAGAACGTAGGAGCATTAGGGGAAAAATGACTCAATGGGAGAAGATTGATGGAGATCAGAAATCCGATAAATCTCACCGCACTCCTCTGGGTTCTCATCAGAATTGTCACCACAGTCGTCCTCGCCATCACACATCCAGCGGAGCGGTTTGCACAGCGAGTTGTTGCACTGGAACTCGTGCTGGAGGCAGTGTCTTCCCACTGAAACGCCACGAGGAGAAACCATTACCATCAGTGAAACAGTCTGGCCAACGTGACGCATATAACGGTTTCCTCTCCCCACCACTGTCACAGTTCTCCTCATCGCTGCCGTCCAGGCAGTCTGCGTCTGCGTCGCAGCGCCAGCGGATGGTAATGCAGTGGCCGTTTTTACACTGGAACTGTTCGCTGTCGCATTTCACATCGCAGCCAATCTGAACAAAAACAGCATTACTTTTGTTGGATCCTCATCGTGTGCGCTGTTTGGTTTTTTTTTTACATTTTAAATGATCAATTAACAACAAACACCCACCCTCCCAGCATCTACCCCCAACAAACAAGTAGAAGGAGATTATTAAATAAGACAAAAATGTTGCACTTGTACACTTTCACAACTCCTTGAAACATCAGGTACCGTTAACAGACAGAAAAGGTTTACAGGTTTTTTCAAATAATGAAGCCTCACCCCTCAAAGTCAGACAGATGTTTTTTCCAGTTAAATAAAATACAGGACTTCTCTCACCCAGCATGTACATGTAGGTGGAGCTGCAAATTTCCAATTAAGTAGAATTAAACCAGATTTTTTTTCAGAGTAAATTAGATAAAGGAAGAAATATTGCAAACCAGAGCCTCTTCATGGAGGCACAGTTCCAAAACATGTGAGTAACTTGCTGTCGACGTTTTTCACAGAGGGGACGATGTATCAAATATTTTTTGCAAGCCTGACTTAGTATCCTGTTGGTGAGTCTAACTCCGAAGCTGAAAGTTGACGGAGCGATACCTCATCGGAGCCGTCGGCACAATCATGGTCCCCGTCGCACTTCCAGCGCCCTGCGATGCAGCGGCCATTTTTGCAGGAAAACTCGCTCTCTGAACACTGTCGAGGCACTGAGGACAGAAAAGAAAGAGCTTAGAATAACGGGGCTCATTGAGAAAGATCTAAAGGGTAGAGGGAAGTAACAAGGAAAGGCTTTAGGAAAGGAAAAAGGTTGGAACAGAGCAGACTGAACAAAAGAAAGGTGCAGATAGTTCATCTCAGAGGGATGATCTCAATGGACACAAAGATGGCATTGCTGTAAAAAGTGGCAGAGAAAAGCTTGCAGAGTTTTGAAAGAAGGAAAAGGACTGCAGAACAGATAAAAAGCCGGGATAAACACAAGGCCGGGTAGTTTGGGTCGTGGTTGATCTGAAACGTGACACCTACCTCTGGCTCACAGCAACCGGCCAGTGTGAAATGCAAAACAGACATGAGATGATGTGAGATGTGCAAACGCCCACGCAACATGCCCACAGAACTGTGCTTTCATGGTTCGTTACTAAAATAGTTATTCTTGTTTACGCTTAAGTACCTTTGTAGCTATTGTTTTACAATAACTTGATCAATGCTTTTGCTAAACAGCATGCAAGGCCAAAAAATTAATTAAAAATCACTGATTTTAGTACAAATAATGAGCTGTAATTATGGTTGTTTGATCAGACGGTGCGGGCTTTCATTGATAAGAAGAACCGGTGGAAACCTACCACACTTTTCCTCATCCGAGTTGTCCCCGCAGTCGTTGTCGTAGTCACACTGCCAGCGGCCGGGCACGCAACGGTTGTTTTTGCACCGAAACTGGTACGGCTCACACGTCCGCTCATCTGTAGGAAGAACAGTTTACTAACTGTCGCTTTAACGTCAAAGTCCTCCTCACCTTAACTCCTTCAGCAGCACTTTTCTTACCACACTCCTCCTTAGGTTCATCCGAATCATCTCCACAGTCGGATTCGCCGTCGCACTTCCAGAGAGCCGGGATGCAGCGTCCCGAGTCTTTGCAGCGGAACTCGTCCACGCCGCACGTCATCTGAGCTGCAAAACGGAGGATTTCACGGGTTAATCAAGAGTTTGCAGATTCACGTCAGTGCAGCGCCGCCGCCTGTTGTTGTTGTCCTTACTGCAGTTTGCAGGCTCGTCAGAACCATCCATGCAGTCATTGTCCCGGTCACACACCCACACTCGCGGGACACAGCGCTTACTCATGGCACACTGGAACTGGTTTGGAGCACAGGTAACCTCAGCTGCAACAATAACACACACACACACAATAAACAATATACGGTGAAACTAACCACTACCTCACTTTAAAAACAAATTAAACTAGCTTAATTGCAGTTTAGCACTATTTTGCTACTATTGGAGTTTTCTAGTTAAAGGTGTAAAAATGCTAAATTTGACTTTGAGACAAAACGAATGAGCATCTCTTTGTGTATGTGCTCAGGAAATGTCAGGGTATAATGACATTACGCAACACGACCTGACCTGTTGACACTGCTAAAGGAAAGATGAAGGTGCACAGAGGTGAAGGTGGGGAAAATAAAAGAGCTCATCAAGTTCTTATGTGCTGATAAGATTTGAGGATACAATATTCACAAGCTTAATGGTCATCTGGTGACAAATTTCATCTTGTGAAAAGAAAGTGTTGCTCATATAAACAAGGCTAATGTCACACTATAACTTGGCGCTGCCACTATTTAAGAAACAGCAGGGATTAAGTGACTCACGACAGTCTTTCTCATCCTCGCCGTCTTCACAGTTGTCCTGGCCGTTGCAGCGGAAGATGCCGGGGATGCAGCGATTGGGGTGGGAACATTTGAACTGACTCGGCAGGCACACGTGGATGTCTGGAAAACAAACAAAAACTCACATTAAAATCGGCTACGAATAATATACATTATTTCTAAATGTTATTTCATGTGTCGCTGTACGTACCACAGTTGGCTTCATCAGAATTGTCCTGGCAGTCGTTGTCTCCATCACAGATGTAGGCAGGGTTGGTACAGATGCCAGTGCCGCACTGGAACTGACCCGGTTTGCACTTAAACTCGGCTACAGGGAGAATTATACACACACATACACACTTCGTGATCATATTTTGACAAATCAGCAGACACTTATAAAATAGAGAAGTCTTTTTTTCTGTGGACACAGTGTTAATGCTGAGTGCTGAATGCCTTTGTTGAAATTTGTTGATGTTAGATGAACTGCTGAAGTTAAAACAAGCTGAACAATATGGGGTGCTGTTTGTAAAGTCACACAGTCAAAAATTAACAGCAATGTTTTGGTTTATTTAGCCTTTCATAAGAAAAACAAAGTCATATTTTTACCATGTTATTCATACATTTATACATTTCATAGTTCCAAACTAAATATTTAATTTACAAACTAAATATTTAGTTTTCAAATTAAATACTTAACTTGCAAGTTCAATATTTAGTTAGTAAACAAAATATGTAGGTGCAAACTCAACATTTAATTTCCAAACTAAATATTTATTGTCCAAGCTAAACATTTAATTTCCAAACTAAACATTTAAGTTCTAAGCTAAACATTTAATTCCTAAAGTAAATATTTAATTTGCTAACTAAATATTTATCTTGATCTAAATATTTATTTTCCAAGCTAAACATTTAATTTCCAAAATAAATTTTTTATTTGCTAACTAAATATTTAGCTCGGACGGACCTAAATATTTAATTTGCAAGCTAAGCTAAGGTATATTTAGTTTGCAAGCTAAATATTTAGGTAGCAAGTTAAATATTTAGGTCAGAGCTAAATATTTAGTTAGCAAATTAAATATTTATTTTGTAAATTACATGTTTAGCTTGGAAAATAAATATTTAGGTTCAAGCTAAATATTTAGATAGCTAATTAAATATTTAATTTAGGAATTAAATGTTTAGCTTTGAAATTAAATATTTAGCTTGTAAATTAAATATTTAGTTTGAAACTATGACATTTATAAATGTGTGAAATGGTGAAAATTTTACTTTGAAAAAAAAAAAACTTTTTTGTTCTTATGAAAGGCTAAATAAACAAAAATATTGCTGTTAATTTTTGACTGTGTAACTTTACAAACAGCAACCCATAGAACAGAGGATAAATCAGCCAGACAGTAGTTAAAAGCAAATAAATGAGCAAAACTGTAACTCAAAGCAAAAACATTTTGAAGACAGTTGCAAAAATGATCACAAAAAACAAAAACAGATCCGGTACACTGAAGTAGATTTCAGACAAATATGGTTTGAATCAAATAGATCTCCCATCTATTTTCATGGGGAAAAAATAGTAAAATAAAGTAAAATAGTTCAAAATTATAAACATTACAAGTATGAAAACTCATAGCACACTATTTCCAAATGAGCCAAACATTTTTGATATAAGAATAGTTGCAATAGCACAAAGTATGCAGAAGGAGTTTTATTGCAAAAAACGTGAAAGAAACAGAAGAAGAAAACAACAGTGAGTGCTGACTCAGCAGTATTTCTGTAGCTGCACCCGATACTTACGGCAGTCTGCAGGCTCGTCCGAGCGGTCCCCACAGTCGTCCTCTGTGTCACATTTCCACCAAAACGGAATGCACTTGTCATTTTTGCAAACAAACTAAATGCACAGAGGAGAAACGTGTAAATATATCCCATTTATTACATGTTTAGGCAAGTGAATATCTAAAATAAGAGTAATCTACAAACTCACCTGGCTTGCAGTGCAGTTGGACACACACTGTCTGCCATCAGATGACAGGTAAAAGTTAGTGGGGCATGCACACTTGTAGCCCCCTCCAGGTGAGAGCAAACACAGATTACTGCAGCCGCCATTGTTTGTCTGGCATGGATGACCTGACACTGATAAAATAAAAAACGGCATGTAAGCCGTTAATATTAGGGTAAATAAGGTTGAGACATGTGGTTTATGGGCATCTTGCTGATACCTTCAGGCTGCCGGTATGGATGGTATACATGGATGTCCATTGGTCTATGTAGGGTACTGATCAGCATGGACTTGTTGGTTCCCAGGGTTTTATGAGCTCTGTTGATGGACTTTGTTTCCCAGTCCGTCCAGTAGATGTACTCCTCGAACAGAGTCATGGCAAAGATGTGTGGAATATCCTCAGTCAGGACTACATGGGGGCAGACACGCAGACGGACACTGCAGGTTAGTAAAAACATCAGGAAAAGTGATTTCTGTGTAAAAATATCGACCTGTGTGTCTGTGGGTTCCGTCCATGCTGACAAATGCAATGTAGTCCTCCCGAGCGTCAGCCCAGTACACCCGGTCATTGATAAAGTCCAAGGTCAGTCCATTGGGCCAGGTGATCTTATCTTGTACAACGACACTCCTGTTTGTACCATCCATCCCGATCCTCCCAATGTGGGGGTTGTCACCCCAGTCGGACCAGTACAAATACCTGTCAGGGATGATCTGTATTAATTTAATATGATTTGTTGCTACTATTTACTGCATGCCTGACATTTATACCTGCCATTGGAAACAGTGGAGTTTCAACACACTGAAAATACACTATTGTGACCATATAAGCAAGTCTAATATAAAATATTTTATGTGATTGGCAGTCGTAAATAGGCAGACAATAAGGAAAACATTTTAGTTGTGCTGTAGTACAACAGAGTGGTAGGGATGGTCAAAATGAAAAAAAAAATGTAGAAGAAGTTTTTATTGTTGGTGGTGTTTCCAAATACAGTGGCCCCTCACTTATCATAGTGGTTACGCTCCAAACACCCCCGCAATTGGTGAAAATCGCCAAGAAAGGACATTATATTTATTTTAGTAATTATTCATATTTTAAGGCTTTATAAACCCTTCCCACACTGTTGCAATGTTCTTAACAATGTTCTAAAGTTTCTAAACACTCTAAAAGAGCACAGCGAAAGAGAGCAGACAGACTGATGGTACAGTTTCTGAGCCAATCAAGCTGGCCATCTGGAGCATTCCCGGTGGCCTGGCCCGCTGATAGCCAAGGGGCTTGGTTCGGGTTGCGCTTGATTATTTTAAATAAACGATCCATGCAGCTTGTGTGGCTCACTCAGGTATAAGACAGACCCCTCTCCCCCCTCCTTTCTTTTTCCGAGGCTGTCTGTTTTGTTCCTGCCTGTTGTGTGTTTCTGCTCTGCTGTGCACTTTTTACTTGTCGCTTGTGAACAGATTGATTTTAGATTTGTGAAAATTTACAAATTTGCACAGTTCGAGTGTTATCGTTGTGTTAGAGAGAGTAAATTTCATGAATAATTTTAACACTAAACATAATTCAAGTTGAAGTGTTACATCATTTTCAGTCCCCTATTTGGCATCTGCATTTGGTAGCAGGTCAAACTGACAAAGATCATGCAGAATAATGTAGTATTTTAATTCCACAGCAGAGAAAGCTATGGAGTCTCTGTAAGTAGGTCTAGGAAAAAAATTGGTATCTGTATTGGTTATCAGACAAATAAGTTGTAACATATTGGCATATCAGATATCAACCAAAAATCCAATATTGTGCATCCCTAAAAATAACTAAAATAAACTTCCTTCTTTATATTTTTTTCTAAATTATGATACACCACTGTGCTGGAACCATTTGGGTCTCCCAGCAAAATAAAAAAAAATAACTGTTGTGTATTTTTTGTCATTATCGTTCTTACCCATAGCGCACGTCCACAGCGACAGCACGTGGCTCCTTCAGACCGCTGTTGACCAGAACCGCCCGGTAAGCTCCGTTCAGCTTTGACACCTCGATAGTGTCTCGTCCCTTATCGCACCAGTACAGGTTTCCTCCCACCCAGTCCACTGCCAGCCCATCAGGGTTGCTGAGCAATGTGCGATGAAGGACCTGAAAAACGAGCGGGCAGAAAATCATTTCTGTGTTTCACAGAGAAGGATCCAAATTGTTCTCCAGGACTGTGCACGTGCACATGAAAATGCACGCAGGTAAAGCTGACTAAATCGGAGCGTTGATGTTGCAAAGCAGGCAGCTGTCATCAGCACCAACCTGAACATTGCTGCCGTTGATGTGCATCTGTCGGATCATGCTGCCCTGCGTGTTCACATCTGTCCAATAAATCATCTGCTGCCGATAGTCGAAGTCCAGAGCGACGGCGTTGTTCAATCCCTGTCAAAGCACAGGAGCCGGATTAGTCTTGGATGAACTGCAGGACAGTTTACAGATCTCCCATGCACATCAAACGGCTTCACAGGCCTCACCTGTTTGAGCAGAGTGTAGTTTGAGCCGTCCAAGTTGAGCTTCCTCAGATAATAACGGTTAGCAAATATGAGGAACGGCTCCTCGTCTGCAGGGGGATAATATACATGAAGGGACTGACCTTAAACGTTCTGGATGTCTTTAATCTGCCCTTTTCCTTACCAGAAACTGATTTGCATATGGTTGGGTTCCCCGGACTGGGCAGGAAGCCCTCCACACACAGACAGTGGAAGCTGCCGTGTGTGTTGATGCAGCGCTGCGTGCAGGGGTAAGTGGTTGTGCACTCGTCTATGTCCACGCACGTCTTCCCATCATCTTTCAGACGGAAACCAGGGTTGCATCTGCACTGTGGGGAGGAAACGTAATGTAGAGATAAAGCAACAGGTTTTGTTTTCATACACAGTTGTTTCGATGCATGGTGTTCATTTACCTTAAAGCCTATTTTCAGGTCTTCACACAGCTGGGAGCAGCCACTCAGTTTGTTGTTCAGACACTCGTTAATTTGACAGTTCAGCTCATCAGAGCCGTCCCCACAGTCGTCCTTAAGGTCGCAGATTAGCGTCTCGTTGATGCAGATCCCATTGTTGCAGCTGTACATGGTGTCATTGCATTGACTTTCTGTTCAGTGGAACAAAGACATAAAATGGAAAACAAGTGAAGTCAAGTAGATAAAATGTCTAAACCTCTGAAATGATTTTGAGTCTGCTAAGAGTGCTTTCCTGTGGCCCAGAAGAAAAGTAGAGATCCGTTTTACTCCCTTTTTAGAAAGATCTGTTTCTTATAGTCACTGACAGGTTTACTTACATGGATGTGCTTTCAGGATGTTTGTTTTTCTGCTTTCGCGTTACAGTAGTCCATCACTACTTCACGGTTAGACTTTCGCGGACTCACTCTTTTGTGGTTTTTCAACATAAGATTGTACACAACGCACGATATACTTTTATTCAATAGCGGTGATATGAGTTTGAAGCACATTTTTGATATTGCGATATGATTACAACGTTTCATTGAGGCATTTCTTTTTCTGTTCGGGTTCATTTTCAACCCGAACAGAAAAAGCCACGATACAAATACGTTAAGTGCGTGGTGACGTACACCACAGCTCGAAGGAGTTAGTGGTAGCAGGCTAGGCTAACGCTCCAACACACGGCAAGTTTTCATTTCAGAACGAGTGCCCATGACCGTCAGAAAGTGACTGAACAAGCTTTCACAAGCAAAGAGAAAGCAGATGACATAACTGATGAGAGGAAAGACTAATTTGGCGGTGTGGAAGTGGTTCGGCTATCTAAGATCCGATAAACTGCAGGTTTTAGTGTGCTGCAAAATGTACCAGTGAGACGTTCCAACTAGCGGTGGGAACACATCTAACTTGCTTCATCAAGAGTTTCCACTTGATAGAATATGATGAGAGTCAGAAGATGAAGCACAATAAAGTTTGAACCAACGTGTCCCTGAAACAACACCGCCAGCTGTATCAAAAGAGAAACACATGCTGCATGGGTATGTTCTTGTTTAAAGTTAAAACTATTAATATTCATCAGCATCATCAACTTTATTTATAAAGCACTTTAACACAGCCATAGCTGAAACAAAGTGCTGAAACATCAGTTAAAAACAAGATAAAAGACAGCATAAAAACAGAGCTACAAACCCAAGCACACAACTTAATTTAAAACACAATAAAACAACAAGTTAAACAGATAAAATCAACACCAATAAAATAAAGTAAAATCAAGACTCAGTTGGGTTGAAGGCCAATGAATAGAGATGAGTTTTTAGATGGGTTTTAAAAATGGACAGCGAGGGGGCCTGTCGAATGTACAAAGGCAGAGTGTTCCATAATTTAGGGGCACTAACAGAGAAGGCCCTGTCTCCTCTAAGCTTCCTCTTACTCTTGGGGATGACCAGGAGCAGCTGGTCAGCAGACCTGAGTGACCGAGGTGGAGTGTAATGGTGGAGAAGCTCTGTTAAATAAGGGGGGGCAAGACTGTTTAAAACCTTAAAAACAAACAAAAGAATTTTAAAATGAACTCTAAAATACACGGGCAGCCAGTGGAGAGAAGCCAGGACAGGTGTGATGTGCTGTCTTTTGTGTGTTCCAGTTAAAAGACGTGCAGCAGCAAAGTAATATTGGCAAAGTTGAGAGATTTCTGTTTATTTGACGGTGATTTCAAATTTCTTTGAAGGCTAAATACAAATAAAAGGTGAACATTAATTTATTTGTACAGTTTGTACAGTTTTTCTGAGGCTTTTATATTGTTTATATCGATATCGGAATTATATCATTATTGACCAAAATTAAGAAATATATCGTGATGAAAGTTTTGGCCATATCGTCCAGCCCTACGACACACGATTGTCAACTTTAATATTACTCACGTGATTGGGATGGTACGGGATAAAAAGTTAACGAAAAAGAAAATACGCCGGACAGGTGTCGCCATTTTGTAGTTTTCTTTCAATAAGCCTACACTGTAATGCAAGTCAAAAGAACTACACTACCCAGAAGCCAACAGTGCTTCCGACCGCTGCTTTCTGCCGAAATAGAGACAAAGTTTAACAACGCAAAGTCAGAATTAACGATCGATCTATGAAGCTCACAGAACTGGCAGGAAAGTCACAAATAATCCTGAAGCTCAATTATCCACATGCACATCAACCTGGACGGGGCGGTGGGCTTCGTCACTGCAGGGTAGGTCTGCAGAACAGGAACCGAGACCGACCGGAACTGAACTGCTGGTCTGCAGAACTGGTGAGTAAAATTTTGCAGTACTGTACAGTACATATACATATGTTGTTAAAATGATGTAGGTTTGAGTTTAGAGCATTGTAAAGAACATTGCAAGAGTGTGGGAAGGCTTTATAAAGCCTTAAAATATTTATTAATACTAAAATAAATATAGCGTTCCTACTTCGCGGTTTTTCACCTATCATGGGGGGGGGGGGGGACATAACCCCTGATAATCGAGGAACTACTGTAATTGCTTTTTAATATCTAAAGACAAAAAACAGTTTAACTTTAAAATTGTGGTTTTATGGCTGGACAGACCTAAAATCTCTACAAATGATAAAGAATTGAAGGTTGAAAGACTGTAGAGAATCTTGTTTATTTTATTTTAGCACGTGTTAAGTCACTGAAACGCTTCAAATGTAAGATAAATGTGGCTAAATTTGACCAACAGAATTTTTTTTAACATTAAAAAATAATAATTTTATGTGAGTTTACCTGAGCTGTTGCAACGAGGGTTCATCGGTGCTTCGTCTGAGTGATCGTGGCAGTCAAACTCTCCATCGCACTCCCAAGACTTGTGCACGAGACACCGTCCGTTGTCGCAGCGGAACTGGTTGGGTCCACACGTTTTATACACTGCGGAGACGAGCACAGGTCATCAGAATCCGATAAGATATAATAATCACAAACATTACAGATAAAACACGTTATAAATGGAAGCTTTAAGACTGGCCTGTTGGAGATAAGAGGTCACTTACAACACTCCTGGGACTCATCTGAGCCGTCGCTGCAGTCGTTGTCATGGTCGCACACAAAGTGCCTCGGAATGCACCGTCGGTTCTGGCACATGAACTCATCGCTGCCGCATGTGTTGTTGAACACTGAGACAAAAAAGACGATTGGTGGGAACATTGATGTTTTCTGCTCCAGCAGTGTAGTAAAGCTCTCGCCTTTTTTCTTCCCCAGAGGGATTAAACTCATTTTAACAGCTTGAACTCACCGCAGCCAGCTTTAACGCTCTCATCGGCTCCATCGGGGCAGTCTTTGTCGCCGTCACACTTCCAGAGCTGAGGAATGCACGTGTACGATCCGGGACAGTGGAACGCATCGGGACTGCAGGTTTTACTCTCTGACGTGGAAAAGTTCAGACAGTTGGTTTAAGAATAAACTGTTTGAAGCAAAAAAATTAATTATAATTTTGTGTTTCGTGCATGTACTTAGCTACTCACGTCAAAATGTTCTAATTTATTATAAGATTGAATGAATTATCATTAACTGTTTATTTGCTTTGAGTAAAAAGGTTTGTCTCCAACGCTTACTGCACTTGCTGTCCTCATCGGAGCCGTCGCTGCAGTCTTTAGCCCCGTCACACACCCAGCGGCTGGGAATGCAGCGGTGGTCTCCACACTCAAACTGGGTGGGTGAGCAGGACTTATCTAAAGGAGCGAAAAGGATGCATGAAGGGCCAAATTCCAGCAGCAAAACAAAGTTAATGCCGGCCACATTTTCACTTCTTACCGCAGTTAGCTTCGTCAGCCCCGTCCTCACAGTCATTCTCCTTATCGCAGAGCCAGCTCGTGGGGATGCAGCGGCCACTGGGGCAGGCGAAGAAAGGCGTAGGACACTTTGTTCTCCAGACCCCTGACGCAAGGACAGAGTGGGGATTAATTAAAAAAGAACATTTCAAAGAGTGTATTCAGCATAATTTCACTCGTTTATTTCAAGAAATTGCCTCCTGTACCACAAGTGAATATAGAAAAAATGAACCTTGAGGTTGTTGGGGGAAACTGTCCAGTGGACCTGACTTAACTTTGTTGGAATCTTTGGGTTTGTTTTTTCCCAAAATATACTTTAGCTTTAAAACTTTATCAAAGCAGTCAGTGGCGCTCGTGGGCTCCTGTTCCTTTTCAAGCCCTACTTAATGCAACTCCGAAATAAAATGGCGCTGGCTTGTTAAAGATGCTAATCCAACGTTTTCTCCTCACTGATCCACAGGTACTGTAAGAAAAACATCCTCTAAACTCTAGTTGAAGCTCACACAAAGTTGAATGGCAGAGAAATTACTTTTCTGTGTTCTAGGATGGCTGTGGCAGATTTAGTGTTTTGTTATGTACCAGTAGTTAACTGTGTGTTTCTGACGAGCGTTAGTAACACAACCCTCATGTGGTAAAACCGAGGTTTTGATCTCATAGTGAGATGTGTAAATCTGTTTCACGCTGTTAAAAATGTTCCGTTGATTCTAAAGTGTAGAAATGAGCTCATCATAAACTCTCTCTTGGAGAGCAGCGTTTGTTCTGTTATCTTGTTAAGCTGCTGCCGCCATGTCGTGCCAATAGAATATATTTTGAAGGTTTGAGCTGAATTAGCACAACTAGTACTAAGTTTTAATTGTGAGTTCGTTATTTTGTTTCTCATTAATTTAGATTTCTAATTATTAATCTTATGTTTAGACCTATTTTATAATTGTGTTTTATTTTGCACATAATTTCCCTTTTTTTATGTACATTTGTGCATCTTATTCATGCTAATGCAGTGTATAGACCAGTGTTGAAAACTGTCTATTATGCTTCTGTTTTGTAATTAATATTTAGAGGTGAGATAAAGATATTTTTGACATTATCAGAAATTAAATGGCGTTGGCTTGGTAAAGACGCTAATCCAACGCACCACAGATCCACAGCGCTTCTTAGCCTGTGAATCACATGACTGGCCCAGATAACCCTAGGTCTGGCGCCGCTTACATTTGGGGGATTTCCTGCGGGACCAATAAAGTTCTATCTTATCTTATCTTAAATACCTATTTAAAAATGGTTTCACAGATTTCAAAGGATAAAACATTAAGGTTCAGCCAGTAGATGTGGAGTTCAAAATACCCGCGCAGTTTTTTTCATCCGTGAAGTCTCCGCAGTCGTTGGCTCCGTCGCACTGCCACGAGGGTGCGTAGCAGAGCGTGGTGAACTCACACCTCTGAAACGTCACGCCCTTCACCCCCAGGTGGAAGTAAGAGGAGCAGTCCGTGGGAGCTTGATAAAGAGACGAACACAACAAACTCTGAGCGAAGAGTTGGCTTTTGGATTTCAACTGAAACCTTCTGATCGATTTGAACTTACGACAGTTCATCTCGTCGCTGGCGTCCTCACAGTCCACCTTCTGGTTACACTTGCTGGAGTTGGAGACGCAGCTTCCGTCTCTGCACTGGAACTGACCGGCTGAGCACAAGGTGGCTGAGAAAGAAACGGTGTTCAGAGAAATCAAGATCTAAAATGTTAATTGCTCGTTAATGGGAAAGGTTTGGTAAATGTTTAGTTTCATTGTAGGAGTTGGATTTAGATCTGTGTGATTCTGAAACATCTGACGCCTGCCTTACATGCCATAGTTTTACACTAAGTTCTTGACTGATCTGTTAATGCTCAGAGTGTATGTTGGACATGACACTCAACTACCACAGGATTTAAACTTTGTATCAATATCTGTAAAACTCACTGATTTATAACAATTTTTATGTTTGCTAAAGCTAACGTAGCTGATGGCCATCTTAAATTGACTTTTACACATAATCTGTTATAGATGTGCATTAATTCAGTGGGGGCAGCACGGTGGCGCAACTGGTAGAGCTGCTGCCTCTCAGCGAGCAGGTCCCTGGTTCAAACCCCGGTCCAGGGGCCTTTCTGGGTGGAGTTTGCATGTTCTCTCCGTGCATGCATGGGTTTTCTCCGGGTACTCCGGTTTCCTCCTACAGTCCAAAAACATGCATGTTAGGCTGATTGGTAACTCTAAATTGTCCCTAGGTGTGAGTGAGAAAGTGAATGGTCGTTTGTCTTGTTTGTCTCTATGTGGCCCTGTGATGGACTTGCGACCCGTCCAGGGTGTACCCCGCCCCTCGCACAGTGATTGCTGGACATGGGCACCAGCGACCCCCGTGACCCAAAATGGAATAAACGGGTAAAGATAATGGATGGATGGATGGATTAATTCAGTGGTACAGGTGATATTTTGCTAACAGACAGACACACTCAGAAGTAAAATAATGTTCTTCCACCTTTAGCTTTCCAGCAGTGGGTGATAAATATGCAGCGTGCAGTCAATGCTTTTGTTATGAAAATGCAACATGTTGCTAATCTGGTTGTTAGGAACGAAGGAGCGGCCTCTTTGCAAACCAAAGCTTTGAATGAATAAACTAAAACAACTTGGTTAGTTTCAATTTACAAAGCAAATCAGCCTTACATATGCATGATTTGTGTATATATATTTGAATATGAGACTAGACTCACTGTTACAGAAAACTTCATCAGAGTTGTCTCCACAGTCGTCTTGCCCGTTGCACCAGGAGCTGTGCGCCACACATCGGCTGTTCACACACCGTCTGTAGCCCTTCTTACACACACGGTTGGCTGAAAACCAGGAGACATGCTCAGTTTTTCAACCAACACAAACATAAAACAGATTTTATTTTTTTTCTGCATCCTAAGATTTCCCTCACCACAGTAGGACGGCTTCTCGTCAGACTTGTCCTTACAGTGGGCCTTGGCGTCACAAGTCAGCGTGTAGTTGATGCAGTCTCCGTTCCCACATTCAAACTCATCCATGTTGCTGCAGGTCGTGTTTGCACCTGAGGAGCACAGACAGAAGCAGGAACGTATAGAAGACTTGACTCTACACTGCAATCAATGACGTTTATTACTAAGAAGCATTCACATTACTGTTTTCCTGTTTTTTTTACCCAAACTTAATGCCGTTTTAGACACTCGGGTCGTTCAGCTCATTCAGGAGACAGGTACTATGATTTCTGGTGTTTGAAACTTTTGTACTTTTCCAAAATATTTCACATTATTTATTACTATTTTTCATCATAGAAATACAAAGATATTTCAAAAGCATTAAATTCTCTTTAAATTCTGCTTCACCATACCTGCTCTATTTTTCTTCAAATATTACTTTAGCTTTTAGTAAGCTTTTTGCTACGTTTAGTTTTTAGCTAGCCTTATCCTATATTTACTGTTAGCTGGTGTTCTGCTTGTTTTAGCTTTAACTCCTTAGTTTCCGCTTTTTCAGCTTTCATGATGTATTTTCACAGAAATTGGAAGATTTTCAATTAAAATAATATCTTTATAACCTCCAGCAGAAAATAAATAGATCATTTGGACATTAAAAAGTAGAAAAGTAAAATAAACTAGAGAAATTACATTTCTTGCAAAAATGCAATGTGAATGCTTATTGCAGAAGAACTTGCTGAACAACAGCTGAAATTAGCTTAAAAAAACATGCTGCAACATATAGCTGAAATAGAAGAACAAGCCTAAGTTAGCAGAAGAAAGCAGAAAGATATAAATATTTGGTGAATTAGGTTTAAATAATCAGAAATTAGCACAAAAATTTGGAAATTAGCAAAAAAAAAAAGGCTGAAATTAGCACAAAAAAGCCTAATATTAACTAAAAAGGCAGACTTAAACTACAAGAAGGAAGTATAAAAAGCTGAAATTCGATCAGAAAATGTGGAATTAGCTGAAAAAGCTAAAGTTAGCATAAAAACAGCTAAACAGTGGCAGAAAAAGCTGAAGCTAGCAGCAAAAAACTGAAAGGAACATAACAAGCTGAAATTAGCAGGAAGAAGTTAATTAGGAAAAAAAGTAGCAGAAATGACCACAAAAAACTTGAATTTATTTGAAAACAGCTAAAATGAGCAAAAAAATTAAAAATGTTGCTGAAAAGGTACAACAAGTTTAAATTAGCAGAAGAAAGCAGAAATAACGTTTGCCCAATTAGGCTGAAAGAAGCAGGAATAAGCACAAAAAAGTAGAAATTATCTGAAAAAAACTGAAGTGAGAAAAAAAAACCCAGCTGAAAAGTAACTAAAAAAGCAGAAAAAAAGCTTAAATTAAAATGGAAGTGGAGAGAGCACATTTTTGTGACGAGAACTGAGCCGAAAAACGTAAGAAAATAAAAATGGATCACAATAGTGTGAATGTTTCATACTGATTCACATTATTATTATTGTCATGCTGTCAATTTATGATTATTGAGCAGAGAAGTGTCTTCTCTTTGATATCATAAGTTTTGATCAAACATCTTTAGAGCAGTGATGGCTGATTAGCCTCAAACATTTTTGCTAGAATAAGACATAAAACCAAAATGCATAACCTTTAAGTGATGCTTTTTAATGAGTATAAAATCTTTTATTACCAGTGCAGGTGTTGTCTTCCAAAAGCTTCCGGTCGCCACGGCAACTGCAGGTAACCCTTCCATCAGAGGTCAGCAGACACAGGTCCTGACATCCTCCGTTGTTGATGCGACACTGAGAGAACTCACCTGTGGAAACAGGAGAACAGTGAGAAACCAAAACCTGCAGAAAATGGTTTGTGTTTCTGAAAGCTGACACATCATCCCATCTTCCAGTCCTTGCAATGTCTTATGGTTTTGTTTTTAATGCAAATTAAATATTTCTGTTTTGTTTAATCTTCTTTCTATAGCATACTTCATATTTGGTTCTACATTTATTATATTTTATACTGTTTTGTTGTTGTTTATTGTGTTCACAAGATTACTATTTAGGCTTTTTTTTTTTTTTCTGTTTTAATTTATAATTCACTACTTGTTCATAGACCACTTTGGCTCGACTCCTGCGGTTTCTAAACGTGTTTTTAGATAAATGTTGATCCGTGTGCATCCAGATCAGCTGCTTCAGCTAAATGCATCGTTCCATGGGACTCGACGCCACCAGGAGTTGAAGCTGTTACAACAAACTCTTGGCTTGCAGGGTTTGTAGCTACTGTTGAGTATAAAAGTACGATAAATGAGGAACTTGAGGGGAAATATGTGAAGGAGAAAATACTACAAGTCTGCACTGGTTCAGGATACACACAATTGTAAACAGAGCATCAAACACGATCTCAAATAATTCCTTACATTATTGTACAAGTTAAAATTAGTCAATTTTCTGGTGAAAGCCACAGACAATATAAAACAACCACTTTCAGCACCTGACACAAACACCCGAGTCCTGATTCTGTGAGAAAACTTACAGCTGTTCGTGTCGTTGGCCACAGCAACGATCCCCATCGGCTGCTGGGGGATGTCAGCACGCAGCACCTTCATGTCTCCCCCTGTGTATTTATCGGCACGAAGCACGGCCCTCCTGACCCAGTCAGTCCAGAAGATGTACTCTCCGTACACGGCCAGGCCAAACGGATGGACCGGCTCATTCTTCAGCACCATCTGCCGGGGGAAATACAACCACAACTGTAACTCAGAGGTGTTTAAGAAATCACAACCCCATGAATAACTTTGTTTAACTTAAAAAAAACAAAAAAAACAAGATGCTGTTCTTTGAATATTTCATAAAAAACAAAAAGAAATGCACAGTCATGCCAAAGGTTTTGTTCTGCTCTTAAGAATAATGTTATGCATGATCTGTTAGCGCTGAGTATGTGTTAGGAGTGGCTCATCTTTCACAATACATTCCAGCTTAATATCTGTACAACTATGTTATACCCTGACCTGGAGTTGCATTCAGGCCCAAAAAATGCAACCCGACCCGGCCCCAGATCAGAGCTGAGTGGGTGTTATTCAATCATGGCCGACAAAGCGCATTACAGTAGTCCCTTGTTTATCGCGGGGGATCTGTACCCTGAAGACCTGCGAGAAGTTAACAACCGCTAAGTCGGAATAGTAGTACAAGTAGTAAGTAGTAGTTTATTTTATTATTTATATATGTATATAAAGGCATTTTAAACCCTTCCCACACTCTTGCAATATTATAAACAAGGTTTCTAAACTCTAAATGCTCTAAAAGAGCACAGAATGTCATGATTTTAGCTCCCCCCCCTCTGCTCTTTGCCACCTGCAAGCGTTCTTGGCCACGCCCACTCCTCCGCTCTGCAGTGAACATCTGATCAGCTGTTTAACTGCAGCAGGAAGTTTATCCTTCAGCAGCATGGGCTGCACAAAGCTGCCGGAGGAAGCATTTTCTGCTGCTCTGGGCTGCACAAATGTGCGGCAGGTGCTAAATAATTTCAAATAATTTATTTAAAATAAAAATTTTATGCCGATCGTGCAGCTTATCCATCAATCAGCCATTTGTGTGTCATGTCCAATCTTATTTTGAAAAACCGCGATAGAGCAAATCTGCGATAAACGAACCGCAAAGTAGCGAGGGACTACTGTAAATCCCTGCTGCTGCCTGCATTCTGCATTATTCAGACACAGACCCTGCTCTGACATGTCGGATATTTTGTGATCTCACCTGTTTGGGTCGTCGACCGCGAGCGTCCACTGAGTGCAGCGGCTGAATGAACGTCCATTTGGGCTTTGATGGGTCGCTGACTGGCGGTCCCATCTAAAGCTTAACTGAACTTTTTTCATCTCTTTCAAGGCTGGTCCATGCACAGTCGTGGCCGTGTGCGGCTGGTGATTGTATGGCAAGCCATGTTGCCATATAATTGGATTGTCAGCCACGCACGTCCGCTGACACAATCAAAGCCCGACACCGACCCGGCCTGCCCATCCAGCATATTATTATGGCCCGGGTTAGAATTGACAGCTCTACCCTGACCTATGTTAGCTAGTTGTGGCAGCCATCTTAAATCAAGTTAGCTCAAAAAGTTAACAAGTTATATGCGTACATGCAATGATTGCTTTCTGAGAGTTTCATTACAATTTATCCACTGGTTTATGAGATATTTTGCTAACAGACAAACCCAGGCAATGGTCCGTCTTTTATTGCGGCGTTGAAGGAGATAATGAAACTCACGTATCGCTGGCTGCCGTCATACTCGCAGCGCTCAATCTTGTCAAGCGTGGCATCAGAGAAGTAGAGCTTTTCAGCTCTGTGGTCGATGGCCAGGCCGTTGGGCGTTCTGATGTCGGTGCCGATGATCACGAGGACGTTGGCGCCAGCCAGCGTGGCGCGCATGATACTGGGATACTGCTCGTTCCAGTTGGTCCAAAACATCAGGCTGCAGAGTGACACAAACAGACTCCAGCTTTATTTCAGGAACATGGTGCATACATGAGTAAAAACATATAAATGAACAGAACCAGATTTGACCTTTGACACTCGTCAAGGACAAACGCTCTTGGGTGATCGTCTCCAGACATGGTAACCACAGTGTTCCTGTCCACGGCTCCCCAGCGGCTCTGATCCACAGTGTGGCGGGTGATTGTTGAGGTGGTGTAGCTGGTCCAGTATAACATATCCCAGCCCCTGTGGTATGCCAGACCCTCCACCGAGCCCACATCTGGAAAAAAAAAAGAATATCAATCAACCTTTATTTATACAGGTAAATCCCATTGAGCCTCGAGGACTCATTTACAAGAGAGACCTGATAAGGAATATGGGAACAGAACAGAGAGGGGAAAGAAGCACGTCAGTCTCTGAGTCATGTTGGACTTTGTCTGGTCTCAGTTCAGTGTTGGCTGACTGCTGGACATGACAGTTTGGTTTTTAGAAAGAACAGTGTGAAGTTCAAGGCATTTATCCAGCAATTAGCCAAGGAAAAGGTCACCAGCTTTTGCATTACTTTTCATTCTTCTGCTGCGCAGCTTTGAAATGAGTACAACGTTCCTGCTTGCAAGGAGGCCAGAGAACACACACAAAAGGAGCCAAGATGGAGAAACACCAAGCTCTGCAGCAGGAGACAGAAAACCTCTCTCCTGCAGCTGAGAAACAATACATCCTCACAAATATGTGCACCCGTGGGCTTCAAAAGGAGCCGGATTGCTCCAAAAAATAAGCAAACGATAACAGTCACCTTATTGTTACCGTTACTGGATATGATCTCACTCTGTCACACCTCTGGCCAAAGAAAACTGAGGTTTACCATCAAGTGAGACACTCAACACTGCCTCTGTACTTTTGGTGCAACACTACGGATGTGAATCAGCATTTACGTGGAGCGAGCTAGGAGAATTTGAATAAAGCAAAAATTGGCAACGCACAAAAAACAATCTCTCTCAGCTTCTCATAAATCACAGCACGATAAAAATCAATAAACACAAAATCCATTCGCCTCCATTTCCTCTTTCTCGTGCGCTGTTAATGAGTTGTAAATCTGTAGCACACTGTTCAAACTCTTCCCTCTTCATCTTATCTTGTCATTGCTGTTGATCTAAAGGCTATCTAAGTTTGTGTAAATTTATTGCTGTCAATAGAACAGATGAGCTCAATTTATGGCTCTTAATGATGACTGTACTGACACTAAATATATGGCTGTTACCTGAACTAGGTGTGAGTGCAGTTCAGTGTTTGCTATCAGCCTGGCAGTCAATAATTACCCAGATTTTGAAGGCAAACACTACTTCACTGTCTGTTTTTTTTGTTTACTTTAAGTATTTGTGCATGTTTTGCATATACAAGATCGAGGTCGGCAGTTCTACACAATCTGCAGATTGTTCAGATAAAACGCTGCAGCCATGAAGCATGGGAAAACCTCAACGTTAGGTTTTAAACCCTCCCACAGAGAGCAGGCCAGCCCATCGCTGCACTGCTCGGTCCAGAGTTCACCTATCTTTTACTCGTTTTCTTACTCTCAAAGTGTTCGCCTGCTCCGTCTGCTGTTTCCAGCATGGTTCTGGGGAGATTCCTCTCCTGGAGAGAGGAAGAATGATGAATGTGGATTAATGTGCCTGACTTGAGTTTTCATGTGAAGATGCTCTCCGGTGACAGGAAGTCACAATCTGCTGTCATTGGATCCGAAATGGAAAGACAGAGTTGGAAGTATCTTGCCATCAATGAAGCTGACTGGAGGAACTGATGAGACATTATTCATAAAAAGCACTGATTATGGTGACTGAAAGATTATGCTTTTTTTTAAATGATCAGGAAATAATTTGTTGTAATTGCAGACATTGTTGAAGTTAAATGCCAGGAAATCCATGTGATGTTATTCCGTAGAACAGTGCTATCAACCTGCACTATGACAAATCATTCCTATATGTATTATCAGCAGTTTATGACTGGGTAAGCAAACTGTCCAAACAAACTGCACTTGTTTTTCAACAGCATTACTCTAACTCGGACTGAGGACAAGATGCTGAAATCGACCAGTTCAGAGGATCTGCTAGGGAACAGCAGCAACTCTGGGAGGGCCAACGTGGAGCAGATCCTTGTCCCAGTTCTAGACTCGCTGATTTTGATGCTGGGAGTGACTGGTCACACGATGGTGATGGTGATCTTGTGTGGACGATGGAGGAGAACGATAAGACCTACTGGACGAGCTTCCCAAGGCTCTGTGACTGGAACAGGGACAGACATCCTCCTGGTGGCGCTGAGCGCTGCAGATCTACTCCTCCTCTCTACACTTCCCTTCCAGACTGCCTCCATAGCCATGCAGGAGTGGCCGTTTGGGGACTTCATGTGTCGTCTGGTGAGCTTCTTGGGGTCCACTTGCTCTTCAGCTAGCGCCTTCACTCTGGCCACTCTGGCTGTGTCTCGATATCTGACTGTGGTGAAGCCTGACAGGGCGTACAGGCTGTTCACCCCTTGCAATGTGTCTGCAGTGGCTGGGCTGCTCTGGATTCCAGCCTCCTGCCTCGGTGTTCCCCAGTTGGTTTTCCGCTCTGTGGGAACCCCACGACAAACCCCTGATGGCCTCACTTGCTTTGCTTTCCTGTCTCACCGAGACCAGATGATCTACGGACTGGTTCACTTCCATGCAGCCTTCTTGTTTCCATTGGTTACCATTGCAGTGGCATATGGAGGGATCTTTGTGTTCCTATGTAGGGGTCAACATGTCGGCAGGGCCCCTCAAGTAGAGCGCTATCAGAGTAAAGTGACTCAGACGACAGCCATGTTGGTTTTGGCCTTTACCGTGTGCTGGCTGCCCTCCTACGGACTCACACTAACCTTACTGGTGGATAAAAACTCAGGAGCAACCGGAGCGTCACCTCGTTACGGCGCCTTCAGCGTGTTTGCACGTTTCATGGCAACCTCATCAACAGTGATGAACCCCATTCTTTATGTGCTCATGTCCCAAAAGTTCAGACAGGATATACTGTGGATCTTTAATAGGAAAAGACAAAGAACAAACATCACTCTGGCTTTGTCTGCTGCCTGACACTAATACTGGAACACACTGCTTCTCTAAAACTAAATGACCTGCACATCATTTGATCAAAAGCACTGCACTACTCAACGAGAACATGAGGTTATGCAAGAGGATCACAATGTTTGCCCTGGGAGTTGCTGCTTTACAGGCACAGTAGGAGAAAAAGCTCTGAATCATGTATTTGTTCCTTGTAAAACAGATTAAAGTAAAGGTGGTAAAACATTAACACTGCACATGTGTTTTGTTATACTCAGATAAGGTCAACGAAGGCCCGTCTATCTATAGACCTGTTTATGTTGAAGTGCACTCTGTTCTTCCGGGTTCTGTTTAGACAAGTGGGAGGTTTGGTGGAAAAGCCGAAAACTTTTGTCCTCCAGGAAGATTTCCCACCAGGAGGGATTTTTGAAGCTGGTTTTATATTTTGTTTACCAAAAGAAAAAGAACGGTATTTGAAGGGAGCAGGGAAAACAGAGCAGATAAACCGAGGCTGTGTTTTGAGTTGACATAAAAACCCCACACGTGAAAACTCACTCTCTACTATCGTTTTGCGGTCAGATCCATCGTCACTGATCTGCTGGATGTTTCCAAAGTGGATGTCGCTGAAGAAGATGCGGTTAGCTCCTCTCCCTCCACCTCCTCTGTAATCAAAAGTGAGCGCAATGATGTTCTTCATGTGCTCGGGGTCTTCGAACGGCCTTATAGGTGCATTCAGGTTGTTTTCGTCCGACAGGTGGACACTCTTGAGTATGGTGCGCTCCGAGTAGAGGAGGTAGCCTTCGTAGTCGCGGCAGCCACGTCCGTCTTCGGACAGTGTGCCGTGAGCGCAGGCGCATGTGCGCTGCCCGTTGCCACGGTAGAGACAGAGCTGCTCACACCCGCCATTGTTGTTTTTGCACACGTTTGTTCCTGTAAACAGACATAATCCCTATATTACATTTATTCTTACGGACTCAAAACATTAAGACGCTTCGCGATTTGCTCACCTTGCTGCCTGGCCTTGTTAAAAACCTTGATGTCTTTGAGCTGCACTCCAATACCAGTCCTCAGAGAGATGGAGTCTGTGGCATTGTCCCTGCTGCCTCTCTTAATAGAGCCATTAGCATGAGTCCTGTTTGACAGAAGACACAGCATTTAACAGAAACTGAGACTTGTAGATAAAAAGAATCAAAAGCTTAGCATTCCCTGAAGGAATGTAGATCACCTTTCATGCCACAGATTTAAACTAAGACCCTCCTATACTGAAAATACAAAATAATCAAACTTCAAAAATAAACTTTTGAACTATCTCATGCAATATCACAAAATGTTCCACTCAGTGCATGTGTTGTGAATGAATCTCAGCTTCTACAACATCAAATTTTAGCACAATACAGTAGTCCCTCGCTATTTCGTTTTTCGCGGATTCGCTTTTTCAAAATAAGATTGGCCATGACACACAATTGGCTGATTGATGGATGGGCTGCAAGATAGGCATGGAATTTTTATTTTAAATGAATGATTTTTTAATTATTTAGCACCTGCTGCACCTGTGTGCAGCCCACACCGCACGAGAAACTTCCTCCTACAGCTCCTTCTCCCTCCTCTGTCAATCTCCATTCTGCAGCGGAGAAGTGGGCGTGGCCGAGAGCTGAAATCATGACATGCTGTGCTCTTTTAGAGCATTTAGAGTTTAGAAACATTGTTTAGAATATTGCAAGAGTGTGGGAAGGGTTTAAAACTCCTTTATATATATATATATATATATAAAAAAAAAAATATATATATATAAGTACATTTTAGAAATAATGTCACATTTTGTTAAGTTTACAACAAAACTGGTGTCAAACCTCCTGGGAAAAATCCCAGGGTCATTCCAAAGGGCTAAATTCTGACAGCCCCGTTCTGTGTTCTGTTCCTTCATGGTTCAGAATGATTGACAGATGTCTTGCCACGCCCCCTCGGTTTGCAGCTCATTGGGGCTAATTTTTGTTCAGCCCAGGGTCTGCCCACAGCCACAGGATTCATCCAATGAGGAAGGATGTACAATAACATGACTCGCGTGTGGTTTTGTGTAGACAGCTGTGTAACGTGCTGAACTTGGCTGTCCAATGAAAAGTCTGCAGTTATGTGCTCAAAAATATCAAGATATAAAATAATAAATTCATTGGAGCCCATTCACCAGTCTTGGTCATTTAAAACAAAAAGAAAAAGATAAGGAAACGTGTCCAAAAGTGTTGAAACCCTTAATGCAGAGGAATTAAGTTGGACAACTGACAGAGGCTCTTTGTAAAAGCTTGGTCTTTGGTTTTTCTCTGGTTATTTGTTTTACGGTTGTCTTTGAGGTGAAAAATGACAATGTCAATTTATA